CTCTCATTAGGTGCATATACATTTATTATTGTAAGTTCTTCCTGTTGTACAGATCCTTTGATCAATAAGAAATGGCCTTCACTGTCTCTTATGACCTTCTTCACTCTAATCGATGTGGTCTGACATTAGGATGGCTACCCCAGCTTTTTTATGGGAGCTGTTTGCCTGTAGGATTGTTTTCCAGCCTTTGACTCCGAGTCTGTGTTTGCTTTGACTATTGAGATGTGTTTCTTGCAGGCAGTAGAATGTTGGGTTCAATTTTCTAATCCATCCTGCCACTCTATGTCTTTTAATTGGTGCGTTTAGCCCATTGACATTGAGAGAGATTATTGTTATGGGATTTTGTCCCATTGTTCTGTTAAAATTTGGTGTATTTGAGGGGCCTGTCTTGCCTTAAAGTAGCCCATTTAGTTGTTCTTGTAACCATGGTTTTGAGTCTATGAAGTTCCTGAGCTGTTGTTTGTCTGTGAAACTGTGTCTTGTTCCTTCTATTATGAATGAGAGTCTCGCTGGGTAAAGTATTTTTGGGGAGGCATTTATTTCATTGAGTTTTTTCACTATGTCCCACCACTGTTTTCGGGCCATGAGGGTTTCATCAGAAAAATCAGCTGTGAATTTTAAGGATGCTCCTTTGTAAGAGATTTCTTTCTTCAATCTTGCTGCTTTCAGAATTTTGTCTCCGTCTAAAGTTTTGGTCCTTTTGATCAGAATGTGTCTTGGGGTATTTTTATCTTGTAGCTGGTACCCTTCAGGCCTCCTGAATGTGGTCACAAGTTTTCTTCAGCTCTGGAAACATTGTAGCAATGATGTCTTTGACAGTTTATTCTTCATCAAGGTTTTCTTCTTGTCCCTCTGGGACTCCAATAATTCTTATGTTACCCCTCTTGGCTTCATCACAATCTTCTCTTGCCATCTGTTCCCGAATTGTGAGTCTCTTTTCCATTTTCTGCTCTTTTCTGGAGAGTCTCTGAACTTCATCTTCGATCTCACTGATTCTGTTCTCAGCAGCTGTTACTCTGCTGCTGAGGCCTTCCACTGAGTTTTTCAATTCGCCTACGAGATTTTTCAGGTTTGACATTTCCGATTGCATTTTCCTCATTTCTGCCTTCAAATTCTCCTGTCTTGTATTGGCATTGCTTTTCATTGTTTCTTTTAGTTCCCTAAGCATCCTAAGTAGCTCCTTTCTGAATTCCTTGTCAGAGAGGTTGTCTAACACTACAGTACTGTTGGTGTCATCTGGGCTAGACTCTTCAATAAGAAAGTTTGGTGGGCTTTTGCGTTGCTTTACCATTGTGACAAGTGTGATTTAGTCCTTCACGTTCACTGTTACTATTCTGCTTGATATGCAGTGTGAGTTAAGATAGGCTTATGAGTTATTGGCTACTGTGTTTCTAGTGGCTGAGCTAAACTAGAGAAGTTTCCATCTAAGAAGGTAGCTTATGGTTCCTATGGCATATGTAGTGGGAAAATATTTCGCGGCCGCTAATGCGGCCGCAGCTCCTGAAAGAGTCCCTGGCACTGGGCGAGGATTTGGGAACGTCTCCTGTTTGGAATGAGGAGCCGTTCAGCTTTGTTGCCCAGAGCTGGGCCTCCATGCCTGTCCTGTGCAGATCAGGGGAGAAAACGGGCTTTCTAGGAGCCATAAGGATTTTTAAACCACTTTTTGTGCCACACTTTGTTAATGCTGTTAACTTGTCATGAATACTAATTAAGTGTCTGGCATTTGCCAAGGAAATTTTATGTAGTTTTGAGTGGACCCAGTAACGTCTCCAATTTTTTTGAGATTCATTGTTACTGTGTTTGGCATATTGAATACGTCACGGGTAGCTTGCCAGGCTTTGCTGTGCAGGCAAGATACTCTCAGTAGCTTGCCAGGCTCTCTGAGAGGGGCGGAGGAATTGAACCAGGGTCAGCTGGGTCAGTCGCGTGCAAGGCAAACACCTTACTGGCTGTGCTATTGCTCCAGCCGGTTTTGTAGAGTTACTATGAAAATCACATTATGTGTAGAGTCCTTAGTATCATGCCTGGTCTTTAAAAGGCATTATAAAACAGTACTTGTTTTCATGATCCAATCAAGTCATGTGACATCAATCTACTGTGGATGAGCTGACCGCCTATGTGGTCAGAAAGCCTAAAGTGCGGTAGAGATTCTGAACCACTTCACTGGTACTCAGCAAAGAATCAACCAAGAGTAGTACAGGAGGTGGCAGGCTGGACAGCAGTGAAACTCTTGGGTGACTCTGCTCCTACCTATGGAAACAGAGAGCTTAAAAGGCACAAAGTCTGAAATAATAAAGAGCAACAAAGTGGGGGAAAAAGAAAAGCTACTTTGGAATCGAGCCTAGTGGAGAATCTTGGTTCCTTTTCAGAACACAATGCTGAGTGAGAAGTCCCACGGTAAGCTAAACAATCTTTCCACAAAGGGGCAGAAAACCATAAGCAAGCCACATAGAAAGGAACAGTATGAAATGGACAGAAAAAATTCTCACAGTAGCCCAGGAGTATGTTATAGGACATAAGAGCTGGACACCTTAGGATTGCTAAATCACTTTGTCTGAGGAACCCCAGAATCCCTTACACCAATCTCCAGTGGTTTTCTGCCTGTGGCCCCTGCATGCTGGACCCTTTTTCATTCTATAAAGAAAGCTGCTGCTCATGTCCATGCTTCTAAGTATAAACATGGCAGAGTTGTCATTCATTTATTTTTAGGAAAAAGGCTAACCTCTACTGTCAGGGGCTTGGCAAGCATCATTTAATATTCTTAATAATTTTTCAGAATAGATACTTGCCCTTGCACCTATTGTACCAGCCTCTCAAATATCTGATCTTAAGTGCCTAAACCCCAGTACTGTTAACCCGGAACCTACAAAACCCTTTGACTCAACACTATTCTCCCTCTGGGTTTGCTCCCATGTTGCTGTCTACACATAGGCAGTTGAGCTAAGTCCAGGAAGGGTACAGAGAATAGGCAGACAAACCTAAAACCCAGGGACCACTGAGTGTAGTTCAGAAGCATCTTTTGCCTTCAGAGTAGCTCTCTAAGCTGAATACAGCACCTGCTCAGCCTCTCTCGAACCTTCTGTCCAAAAGCCGCAGATAAACAGGAAGGCACAGAAACTGGTGCAGCTATCCTGAGATCTTCAGCAGGAATTTCTCTCATTCTTAGACTTGGTTCTCAATGAAAACACTACAGGGATTTAGAATATAAGGTCTCCTGCTATTGATTTCTAATTAATATTGATGAATTCTGAACAGAGAATTTACTCTGCAAGATAGTGATTCTTCATTATTCAAGTGAATGCATTTTGTGGTGGAAAAGGTAGGCACTATACTTGAAAATACAAATACTTGAATAACCAACAGATGTTTTTTATTACAGTATCCCAGTTTGTATTTTTCCTTAGTCATTTTGATATGTTTAAATAATGAGTTTCAAAAGTTTCCACTGTACTTTGTGAATTTGTCCATTTCTTCTTTTCATTCTGTCAGCTTTTGTTTCATTTGCTTTGAACTAGTATTGTCATGCACATTTGTACAAAATCAGGATTGTTGTATCTTCCTTTTAATCTTCACGCAAAGATCATTTATATAAAATTGGGGGCGGGGCTTTAGAAATTTTTTCCAGTATAAATATTGCAGTACTGGGTTTCCTTCAGTTAGTATTAGTCCATTTTGTGTTTTTTCTATCTCGTTATATTCAGTCTCATGTATCTCTATGTTTAACATGTTGGGTCTCCAGTGGAATATTCAGTTATCACAAGCTGTCTAGTTTATGGAAGAGTATACAATTATGCATGTATTATTTTCATATATATATCATTCTGGATTTCCTTAACATTTATCATATATTTATCATATATCTGCCATATTAATCTGTTTTGTTATTATCTTATTGTTTCATTTTGTGGCCACACCTGGAAGTGCTCAGGACTTACTTCTAACTCTGTGCTCAGGGATCACTCCCAGTGGTGCTCAAGGGACCATATGGGGTGCCAAGAATCAAACCTGGGTCACCTGCATGAAAGGCAAGCACCCTAATCATTGTACAATTACTGCGTATTTTTAATTTAATTTTCTGATCTCTCTATATAACATTTTGCTCCTCTTTCAGTAGCGATCCTTACATTTTGAATTTTTTCTTAATTTAATAAGGCTTAAATATATTAGTCCTTATTCTTGTAGTTGGGACTCTGCAGATTATGGTGTAAATGAAAGAAATTCAGACAGTTGTGGCTGGGAAACATAGAAGATATTTTTTCACATAATCTTGTCCAATAAACCAAAGTGTTGTGTCTCAAAATGACAAAAAGAAGTTTCCAAATCTTTTTATAAACACAATATACAATAATTTCTCTAGTTAACACACAGCACTATCTAGTCCCATGAATATGTCAGCTCATGTATAGATGAGCCAACCTCTTAAAAGGGTTGAAGGTAAGATATTGGATTCCATTTTTCATTATTCTCTGATATTCTAATTTTACAATAAGAGCAGTATAGGTTTAGTATTGTTCTTATTCTATTTGAGAAAACCTGTGGCAGTCAAAACAATTTTAATTATATGGAGCAACAATACCCTAAAGTACTAAAGAAAAAGTCATTTGGCAAGTATCTGGTCATTAATTTTCTTCTCCACATCTATAAAATTGGCAGGGCTGAAGAAAATGATGTATTCATAAATAACACCATTTATAATTAAATATTAGGACTTAGTTTGATAATAAATATTAAGCAACAGGATCCTCATATCTTAATTAGTTGCATGGAAAATGTGTGTATGCATATCATGTTACATATTTGTGCTTCCTTTTGTTAGTATTTTTAAGGTACATATTTTAAAGAAAATTAAAATCCCATTTACTATCATTGGTTTTTTATATCATAAAAATCAGCTGACTCCTGGAAAATGTCAGTCCTTATCTCCTGAAGTTCAAAGTTTGGCTGTTCCTGGAGAAAATGTGTGACTTCATTTTTGGTATTTATTTTCTCTCTTTTCAAAGCTTCCTTTCTACCAGCTACTTTAACTATGACTGTGGACAGGGGAGATAATGTGAACATATCTTTCAAGAAGGTCCTGGTGAAAGAAGAAGATGCAGTGATTTATAAAAATGGTGAGTTTGTACTTTGTTTTCTTCATTACCATGGTTTTGGATATCTGCTAGGGTGATTATCCCATTATCCTATTGTAGTCTTGGTGGCTGATGTTTGAAAGTTGCAATGATGCAAGCTATTGAAATTCTATGACAGAAGTCCTCTTAGACAATGTATTGATGTTTTTAATCAAAGCTGTTTTCTAACAACACTCATGACAATGTTGTTAATCAATTAAATTAAATTAAACTGGAGACCCACACCCATATGCAAATATACATCTACTGCACATTCATGCCTCAATGATTGGGATACATTATTAGAAATAAGTGCATTGTTCGGTAATTTCATCAGTTGACCCTATGTCTTAAAGTGTAATTATGTAAACCTGCTTGGTGTTACCTAACACACTTCTAGATCATATGACACAAACTATTCATATTACTATTATATATATTATCCATTATTGATCATAACATTGTTAAGCAATTTACAAATATACATTGACAATGGGATGGATAGGGTCTCAAATATCTCTAGCCAGGTGAAATGTTACCTCGATCTCAAGAATAAAGAAATGATAAAAGTAAACATAAGAAGACAACTGGCAATATTTCTAGGGGGTCAGTGTGGAGGTGGTGATCTAACTCTGGAAGACAAATATGTCTTGCTCCAATTATGGCTTGACATCACCTGGTGGTAGTTTCCTGATCTAGCTGAAAAATTGATGGGAATTATTCTGAACTCTGGTTGGACTGCACTTCCAGAGTTGAGTAGTAATTCTAAGTATCGCCTGATTTGTTAATTAGTTGGCAGAGGTTTATGATATTTTGAAATTGACCTTGCCTGCCCTTCTATGTTCACCTTCCGCTGAAGAAGATAAGAACCTTCATGTTTATGTGTTGGGTGGTAGAGCCCATAGACTTTATCTTCTAGCACTTAATTTTCTTGACTGAATGGGAAAACAATGAGTGGCTCAGTAATTTTTTTATCTTTGTCCCATAAAAAAAATCTAGAATACATTTTCTATATTATGCCAAGGAAAACTAGTCAAGTCGTGAGACACAATCAAGGAAATGCGAATTTGGAATATGACCCATTGTTCTCCATTGTTCTCCTCCCAGGTTCCTTCATTCATTCCGTGCCCCGGCATGAAGTCCCTGACATTTTAGAAGTTCACCTTCCTCATGCTCAGCCCCAAGATGCTGGAGTGTACTCGGCCAGGTACATAGGAGGAAACCTCTTCACCTCGGCTTTCATGAGGCTGATTGTCCGGAGTAAGTGATGGAGAGACCACTATCTATGGTGGTATAGCTACTAGGATTTTTAGTGTCAAGTAACAGATACTAACTCTAAATATTTAAGTAAAATCTGGGGATTAACTGGAAAGATAAAAATGATGCTAAGAAAATGACAGAATGGCTAATAAGAAACAGATATTTTCTATTTTCACTTCCAAATCTATTTTGGGGGATGGGGGGGGCTCCCAAACCATGCTCAGGGACTGGGGCTATTCCTAGCAATACTCAGACTGGGTGTGTGAATCTTATGGTTCAGGACTTGACTTGGTGATGTGGTGCTGTTCAGGCCCAGTGGAGCTGGGAAACATAATGGTCATACTACATGGTGCTTGCGGTGAGGGTTGGGCATGCAGTTCTTGGGGTCAAACTTGGGGGTTCATGAGTGACAGACACATGCTCTAATCCTTTAATATATTTCCCTGGATTTCACCTTGAATTCTTGAGTTCCCAGAATAAGAAATCAGATTGCTCTGATATATGTTAGGTCAGCTTCTAGACTAATGCACTATAAATATGCAGATCAGTGTGTTAAAATATAAGCATAGGACCTCACAATTTTTTCCTTAGTTGAATCACAGATACAGACTTACAAACTTTCATGATTACATTTCAATCATACAATGATCGATCACCCATCCTTCCACCAGTGCCCATTCTTCACTACCAATGTTCCCAGTATCCCTTACGCCACCCCATCCCACCCCCTGCCTCTGTGGCAGGCACATTCCCTCTTACTCTCTCTCTCTCTCTCTCTCTCTCTTCTTTTGGGTGTTATGGTTTGCAATACAGGTACTAACAGGCCATCATGTTTGAAGACCTCACATTTAAACAATAATAGCATCTCCATAGATAAAGGGGACTTCAGTGAGTTGTGCCAGAAAGGTGTCTAATATTTGAAAGGTGGGTTTGGGCTTCTGGTTTGGTCCAATTAAACATTAAGCCTCATTAAATCCTACACTTTTGAGGTAGTTAACTCTCAAATATTATTTTGATTTTTAGGTTTGAAAAAATGCAAGTATTAAAACCATGAGAACTTTCCCTCTCCCCATTATAATTATAAAAATAAATATCTATCAACAATAGTTTTTTTAAAAAAAATATCTATAATGGAAACCAAAAAGAAAGTGCTCTAAAATTTCCCCCAGACACTCATGTAATCAATTACTCAAGTGATGAGGTACATGTATTCGGACTGCTCTGTAATTCCTCAAATTATTGGTAAATCAAATTCATAAAAAGTATTGCAATGTGACAGTAGAAATATTTAAAGTGTAGTTAATATAGTATAAACTTGTGTATTTACCCAACCACTGCCACGCTCCAGGTTGTGACACATCTTAAGACACTTCCTACCCATTTTCCATGATTACCACACCATGTTTGATGGAGTTCAGACAGTAGGCAACAAATCATAGACCTGACAAGCTACTGAGAGTATCCCGCCTGCATGGGCAGAGCCTGGCAAGCTCCCCGTGGCATATTCGCTTTGCCAAAACCAGTAACTATAACAGGTCTCATTCCCTTGACTCTGAAAGAGCCTCCAATTGTTGGGAAAGACAAGTAAGGAGAGACTGCTAAAATCTCAGGGCTGGGATGAATAGAGATGTTACTGGAGCCCACTAGAGTAAACTGACGAACAACAGGATGACAGTGATACAGTGATATGATGATATATAGAAAGAGTCTGATTGGTTAGGACACAGTTTTCATTCATTTCAATAGTTGATTTCTCTCCAGCTTGCTTCAGCACCATATACTTGAGGTACATATTTCACTAGGCCAGAGAGATAGTACAGTGTGTAAGGTGCTTGCCTTGCTTGTGGTGGACCCAGGTTTGATCACTGGCACCATTTACAGTCCCCAAGCACGACCAGGAGTGATCACTGATCACAATACAGCTGGGTGTGACCTCCTCCGCCCCAAGAAAAGCCTCCACAGTTCTTATATTCTTAGGTTTATTTTCAGTATATATTTTCACTTCTTAAAATATTTTTCACAAAGTAGATAGGATTTCTCTCTGTGTGTCATGAGTGCTTCATTCTTTCTTTTTACATCCTGTTCTCTCTTGCTTTTTGTGGCACACCATGTCATGCTCAGGACTCACTCCTGGCTCTCTTCTCAAAGGGTCACTCCTGCCTGTACTTGGGGAACCATACTTGGTGCTGGGGATCAAACCCGGGTCAGTCACTGCAAGGCAAGCGCCTTACCCACACATCCTACTATCTCTCCAGTCTACAAACTTTTAGTTTCTTAAAATATAAAACCAAAATATTTTAAGAAAATAACAGATTTAACTGCACATTATTACTCGTTAGAAAACTCTTTTCCTGACTTTTCCACTCCTAAGAAATCATTCCTATCATTCCCCAACATTTTATTCGTTCCCCTTTACCAGGATTATGAGTGAAGCTAGACCAGGTCTACAGATTAAACTAAGACTAAGCCACAGTTTAATGTAACAGGAACTGCTAGTTTCAACATGTGCAAAGAAGCTTTCAAAAAATTTGTAACTATGCAGAAGCATTTCCCTTTATGTAAGAAGGGAGGTAAATACAAGGTTTTAGATATTTTGTTGCTTTATCTAGCGAATGGAAGTTTTAATCAAATGGAAGAAAGGGTCTCTGTTGACAGTCTTTCAGATTAATTCAGAGAAAATACTGATAACCAGGCATTCTTGCCAAAGAAATTATTAGGTTACATCAGCTGTAGGCACAGACCCAAATTTTCCAGTATGAAAGCAATACACTAGTTCCTTTCATATGAAAAACTAAATTCTTGACCATAACTAACCCCTGGGTTTTTCTTATGCTAGAAGGTATCCTTGAACTTAATTAACAATCAAATATATTCAAGTTGTTAGAGAAAAAATAGCCAAGAAATATTAATCTAGAATCATTTATTGTTTTTGTACTTTAGATTTTAAAGCACATTTGTTTCATTTGTTTCACTTCATCAGAAAGTGAAACTATCATGCTTTCACTTGACAAATAGGTAGAACTTTATCATTCCTGCTTTTATTTAATTTTATTTTCTTTTATTAGGGGAAGATGGTGGGAGACAGAAAGGCCAGGGAAAACGGAGGAGTCTTTTTTTTAAATTTTAATTTTCTGTATCATATCCTACCAATACATATGTAGAATAGAGAGGTTCTCAAACTAACGTTTATCAGAATCACGGTTAAGATTTGTTAACAAGTGGCTAGATGATCTCTGGAGTTTCTCATTCTCTTTAATGGGGAGTCTGAGACTTGTATTTTATTATTTAATTATCTAGTCTTTCTGGGTCACACCTGGCAATGTTCAGGGGTTACTTCTGTCTCTGCACTTAAGGCTTGCTCCTGGCAGTACTCAGGGGGCCATATGGGATGCCAGAGATCTAACCTGTGTCAGCTGCTTGCAAGGCAAACATCCTTGCTGCTGTACTATCGCTCTGGCCCGAGACTTGCATTTTAATCAAAACTCTCAGGTAACAGAATTACTGCTGTTCAGGGAATATGCATTGAACACCATAGCTCTCAGCTGCAACTGCATTGAAAGCTCCTTGAAGATGCTATGCTTCCCTCCTCTGTCTGATTACATTCTGCAGACTTAGCACCTTTGCTACGAGGCGGAGCTGCAGCTTCAGTGCATGTATCTCCTTCTTAGAGATACTTTCATCTACGTTCCATTTTATTCCCAAATCAGGGTTAGATATTCCTTGGGTGTGTTTCTATCATTGTTTCCTGCTCACATGTCTGTTTTCTGTATGAAGCAATTTAGCTTCTAAGAGAGCAGAGAGACTGTATTCTAATTACCAGAGTTCACTAAATGAACTGACACATAGCGGGTGTTTGATGAAGGTGGTTGAGGGACTGTGCTCTACTCACCTTAGCTCTTTTTTCCTTAATTAAAGGATGTGAAGCTCAGAAGTGGGGACCTGAATGTAACCGCGTCTGTACTGTTTGTATGAACAATGGTGTCTGCCATGAAGATACTGGAGAATGCATCTGCCCTCCTGGGTTTATGGGAAGGACATGTGAGAAGGGTAAGTCAGAATACACTTAACTGGGAACTTAACGACTGAAAACACTACTGCTAGCTGGTTCTAGAATTTTGGCTCTACATACAGATGGAAGTGGACAAGAGCCAAAGAGTCTCTGCCAGGCTACAGGGTAATGTGAGAAAAAGCTGCCATTTGTTAAAGTCTCTTTACTGCCAACCACTGCAAAGAAAGAAGACTATGATATTTCTGATGCTAATGCCAATCCCTCTGTTTGTGTAGTACACAGCTCGCACAACCAGGTTGGTGGCCTGGATATTCTCCCTGAGAAAGTTTCATTAATTATCAAAAGGATCATAGAGTTGTAATCACCCTGCCTGTGCCACAGCTGAGACTTGTCTATTTTCTATGTTCCCCGGTGAAGAAGAGATGCTTTGGAAGAAGAATAATGACTTTAAAGTGTTTGCATATTTGATTCTAAATAATCTTTTTCCCCCTAAAGCTTGTGAACTGCACACATTTGGCAGAACTTGTAAAGAAACATGTAATGGACCCGAGGGATGCAAGTCCTACGTGTTCTGTCTCCCAGACCCCTATGGGTGTTCTTGTGCCACAGGCTGGAAGGGTCTTCAGTGCAATGAAGGTATGCACCAATCACCCCAGAAAAGAAAAAAAGAATTCCAAGTGTTGGCCCAAGGTCGGTTTGCTGGAAATCCTGGTGTAGGCTGTACCTAGATGACACAGCTACCTTTGCTAAACTACAGGATTTTGAATCATAGGTGTTTCTCTACAAAACAAATTATACCTTCACATGAAGAGTGTGGACCTTATAGAAATCACTTCTCATACACATCATCTGCCTGTCTTTTGGGAATGGGCGAATGGGTGAGGGGTGCAGCGGCAGGAGGAGAGGGGGGCGGTGTTCAGGAAAAACCAGCTATGCTCAGGGCTAACTCCAGGCTCTGTGCTAAGGAATCACCTCTCTCAGTGCTTGGGGAACAATACGTGCAGCTGAGGATTCAATCAGCAAGGCAAGCACCTAACCCCCCTGTACTATTTCTCTGGCCATACCTGGGTATCTTAAAAGCACAATTATAATCCTGTATGCCTCAGTTGAGGTGTGATATAATGTGATTCTAAACTCCCAGGTCTTGTTGGCACTATTGTTTTTCACATCATGTTTTTGTATTGGAAAGACATGGGAGATTTGTTTTTGGCTTTTTTTTTTCATAGTGGATCAAAAATATCAGTGGTATTGTGTTAGGTTCAGTAAAAATATTGAAGTTAAAAATTGATGCAGTTAAGTACTTATCATTTCTGAACCTTATTCAGACAATGGTAACTACCCAAAGATTCATTCTTCTCTCCCTAAATTATACTTTCCTGTTTGGCAAGCTTCCTTGATAAGTTTCCTATCTCCTTTCTGTTATGTGTTTCACATCTTACTGTAACATAGTAACTGACTTGAATATGAAACCATTTTTGTCAGACTCTGGATAATGAATGTTAACATGGTGAATTTTCCAGAGTGCAAAGACTTCTCAATATATTCTTCACAGGGATACAGTCACAAGGAAAAAGTCAGCTTTTTTCACATTTAGCATATGGTTGCTATGATGTGGTCCCCAGACAGCAATGCTCTAGGGCAGAAATATGTTATCCACAGATGAAATAAAAAAATTACCAGTGATCACATTAACAATGAGATAAGGAACAGATAAAGTAATTCTAATATTTCAATAAGCCCACCCTGTCAAAAATATCATTGGGATCACAGAGATAGGACAACAGGTAAGGCACTTGATTCACATGTAGCCAACCTGGCACCACCTCTGGTCCCCAGAGTCCTACCAGGCGTGACCCCTAATTATAAAGCCAGATGAAAATCCTGAGCACTGCTGTGTGTGACCCAAACCCTGCCCGCTCCCACCCAAATCATTTCAATATGTAATAGAGTCTTAATAGAGATGTTTTACATTCCTTTTTTATTAGTAATAAGACTTTAACATTTCAGTTTGGATCAGTTATATTTTTTTTGGTGGGGGGTCAGACCTGGCGTTGCACAGGGGTTGGTCCTGGCTCCACACTCAGGGGACCATATGGGATGCACAGGGGTTACTCCTGGCAGTGCTTGGGGAAACATATGGGATACTGGGAATCAAACCCTGGTTGGCCGTGTGCAAGGCAAATGCCCTACCCGCTGTGCTATTGCTCCAGCTCGTGGATCAGTCATATTTTACACTCCATGGCCACACACAAATAGTGGCTACCATATTTGAAGAGCACCTCTCTGAGTAAGAGAGCACAAAAGATCAATGCAGAAGTGAGTTTCAGCTACCCGCAAAATCTCAGTCTGGTCCTCTAAATATTATGTTTGCCCCAAGTAACTGAGAGAGACACAAAATGTAGAAGTTTCACTTGGCCTCAGCAATATACATATGAAGGTTAAATGTGGGTTCACAGCAAGCAATGTTCAGGGACTACTCCTCTGTGCTTGAGATAGCTGCTGGCAGTGATGGGAGACCATAAAGTGCTGGGATGGAGGCCAGTCTTCATGTATTCTAAGCATATCCTCAGCCCATTGATCTCTCCAGCCCCATATGGATTTTATTTTTTTAATGTATGTATGTGAATACATTAGTAGTGTTCAAAAACAAGTGCATACATTCAAAGGGGATATAATGTAAGCTTTATTAGCTTTATGGTGAATGTGTCTCTAGATCCATATTTATCAAGATACATACTATTAACTCATCCCAGTGCAAGTCTGACTCAAGAAATCACTAAGACTTTATGTATTGAAATACTTCAGTTTTCTCGCAAATTCCTTCCTTGAACCTCCCACTTTGTATGTTAGATCTTCTGATTTTTGTCATGGGTTCTTAAGCTTGAATCACCCCCAGCCCCTCAATATATCCCCCATTCTGTTCTTCAGATTGAATACCTAATGCTCTAGCTTCAAGTTCATTAACTCTTCTTTCATCTCTTTGATATTGCTAAGTCCATACAATGAAAAAATGTTACTTCATGTTTTTAATTCAAGAGGATCTTTTGGGTTAATTTTTACACTTTGTTTTTATCTGCTGAGATTTATCAGTGTTATTTATTGTGAGTACATTTTTCTTTATTTCACCAAGCAGAGTTATAGTCATTTCAAAAACCTTGTCTGCAACTTCCAACATTTAGGTCATCAAGGTTAGTTTCTGTTGACATTCTTTTCTCTTGAGAATGATTCATAGTTCTCCACTTCTTCTTGAATAATTTGAGATTCTATCTCAAATATTCTGAGTGTTACTTGGTGGAGACTTTTGAGTATGATATATTCCTTTGAGGAATGTTGACTTTATTGCTGTATTTTATCAGGAAATTTACTTGGCAGGACTCAAACTAAAAACTCAGACTCTTTGGCTTTAGCTCAGACCCAGTGCAGAGCTTTTATCTGTGTCTGCACTGTTTTCACTCTCTTCTCAGCATGTATAGTTTAGGGTCCAGCCCAAGATTTAGGGTGTCTCTATCTTACCTTTTCTTGATATTTTCCTCTCTCTTTCTAACATCTCTGGTTGCTCTTCCACTGTCCTTTGATTCTTCAGTTTATGGGATTTGCATTTTAGCTTCCCAATATAGTATCTATGGCACTCATGAGACAAAAAGACTGAAAAATGGCAAACATATCTTTCCCAACTTTCAAGTTCAAGTTTCCTTAAGAATCTGCCTGCTTCTTCTAAGTACTGCCTGCCACTTCTAAGTACTTTCAGGGAGTGTTTTTCAGTTTCAATTACAGTTGTTATCCCTGAGAAGATTTGCCTAAAGAAGATTATTCACCTATCCCAGAAGTAGAACTCCTCAAACTTTTTAGTTTCTAGTAGCACTTGTAGCACTGTTCTCTTGTTCATTGATTTGCTAGAGCGGGCACCAATAACATCTCCATTGTGAGACTTGTTACTGTTTTTGGCATATCGAATACACCACAGGGAGCTTTCCAGGCTCTGCCATGCAGGCGGGATACTCTCGGTAGCTTGCTGGGCTCTTCAAGAGGGATGAGGAATCGAACCCAGGTGGGCCATGTGCAAGGCAAATGCCCTACCCACTGTGATATTGCTCCAGCCCTTAGTAATCCAAATAAATAATGCATGTAAGTCATACACTACAACATATGAATTACCGAGATTCATAGCTTGGAAAGAAAAGAAAGCTTGTCACTTGGAGCCTTACTTTTCTCCCTTTTCTTGTGTTAATACTGGTTGCTATGTCTTTGTTACAGCATGCCAGCCTGGCTATTATGGCCCAGACTGCAAACTTCGGTGCAAGTGCACAAATGGGGAACTGTGTGATCGTTTCCAAGGATGTCTCTGCTCTCCAAGACGGCAAGGGCTTCAGTGTGAGAAAGAAGGTAAAGCAAGGTAACACTGTAGCCAGGGCTATAGTCAGCATGTTTTCACCAAGCTTTGCTGCTATAATTCTTGTCCCAGCAGCCTAAAACCCTCAAGCTCGTCTGTTTCTATTTAGAAACCAGAGAGATTATATCTCAAGTCCTGGTGGACAACATTTGAATTCTTTGTTACAGAACCTCATATTTGTTTCTATTTTCCTTCCTAGTGGGAATAAACTATGTGCTCTTTTGTAACATGGTAAAGGATGGCTGGTCACTTGGAAGTTCTGCCTACCTCTTCTGCTTTCTTCAAGGACCAGCCTTTTCCCTAGCTGGTTCAAAGGGGGAAAGAAGGACTTTGAATGGACCTTTGAACAAAGGATATTGTTATGTGTTTATAAGGAAAGAAGGATTAAACACAATAAAACTGTTTTTAAAGTGATAGTTCTAAACTACCCTAGAGAAAAAATCTTCTGATTCACAGACCAAATCTAACTCGTGATACTCGTAGTTAGAAAAACAGCTGTAATATGGGTCTGGGGTGATAGTATAGTGTGTGGGGGGAAAGGTTGCATTACATCGGGCTGACCTGGGTTTGATCCTCCCTGGCACCATTTATGGCTCCTTGACCATGCCAGGTGTGACCCCTAAGTGCAGAAGGACTGGACACCACCAGGCATGGACCTAAAAAAAAAAAATAAGAAAGAAAGGAAAAGAAAGTGGCTTTGGTGCCGCCAGCAGGTCAATCTGTACCTGTGAGGCGAGTGCATCAGCAGCCTCATGGCGCCTTCAGACTTCCAGATACCCCAAAATTGCTGCTGTGCCTTTGGCCAGACCCCAAAAACTTGGGGCAAAGTTTACCAAGAAAGTAAATGGCCAAAAGTTAGGTATGTGGGAAACACACCCACAAACCACCTCTGGCTCAGCTATATAATTGGAGGCAAGGCCTCTCTGGTTCCTGATTGAACTGCTTAATGGACATGATCCCAGAGACTCAGAAACGAATCTCAGAACCCAGTGGCTTTAGGTAGAAATGCATCTGGTATCTGCAGTAGGCTACCGGTTCTGGGCCAACCAAGGTGGGAATAGGTTTCGTGCCTTGGCCTATTCCCCCTGGAGGCCCAGTGGCCGCCATCCATCCGAGGCCACTGGATAGTCACATTTGGGCCCCCAGTGACAAGACACACAGGGCCTCACAGGATGAGGGTGGAGCCGGGCTTGTCCTCCCCACCACAACGAGACCCCAAGTCATCGCCCACGAATGGCCTCTCTGGCTCCTGATCAAGCTGCTTAACGGCCATGATCCCAGAGACTCAGAAACAAATCTCAAAACCCAGTGGCTTTTGGCAGAAATGCATCCGGACTCCACAGTACGTTACTGTTGCCGGGCCACCCCAGGGAGGAAAGGTTGTTGTCCCTCCGCCTGCTCCCTCTTGGCGACTTGGTGGCTGTCATCCTCCAGAGGCCATTGGACAGTCAGGCTTGGGCCAGCAGTGATGAAACTTGTTGGGTCCCACGGGATGGGTGGGAGGTGGAGCCGGGCCTGTCCTCCCCACCCTAACGAGACCCCAAGTCATCGCCCACAAACGGCCTCTCTGGCTCCTCATCAAGCTGCTCAACGGCCTTGATCCCAGAGACTCAGAAACAAATCTCGAAACCCAGCGGCTTTTGTCAGAAATGTGTCCGGACCCTGCAGTAGGTTACTGTCGCCGGGCCACCCCAGCGGGGGAATGGGTGCTGTCCCTCTGCTTGCTCCCTCTTGGCGACTTGGTGGCTGTCATCCTCCAGAGGCCATTGGACAGTCAGGCTTGGGCCCGCAGTGACGAAACTTGTTGGGTCTCACGGGATGGGAGGGGGGAGGTGGAGCCAGGCCTATCCTCCCCACCCTAATGAGACCCCAAGTCATCGCCCACAAACGGCCTCTCTGGCTCCTCATCAAGCTGCTCAACGGCCTTGATCCCAGAGACTCAGAAACAAATCTTGAAACCCAGTGGCTTTTTTCAGAAATGTGTCCGGACCCCGCAGTAGGTTACTGTCACCGGGCCACCCCAGGGGGGAATGGGTGCTGTCCCTCTGCCTGCTCCCTCTTGGCGACTTGGTGGCTGTCGTCCTCCAGAGGCCATTGGACAGTCAGGCTTGGGCCCGCAGTGATGAAACTTGTTGGGTCTCACGGGATGGGGGGGGGAGGTGGAGCCGGGCCTGTCTTCCCCACCCCAATGAGACCCCAAGTCATCGCCCATGAATGGCCTCTTTGGCTGCTCATCAAGCTGCTCAACGGTCATGATCCCAGAGACTCAGGAGCAGATCTCTAAACCCAGTGGCTTTGGGCAGAAATCCCTCCAGATTTAAGTGTTAAAATTTCAGAATTTCAAAACCACATGGTCCTACTGCAGCCACACGACATCATATGTTATTCATAACCAGCAATAGAACACAAATTGTCTATTGTTGCCTTTTCAGCAGATCTGAGTGTTGGGGTAAAATTTCAAATAATGGTGGGTCTGGTGTTGAAATAGTGAATGTGATCAAAGTAGAGAGAGAGTAATGTAGAAATTATCTGCCCCATAGGCAGGGGGAGGGTGTGGGATGGGGGTATACTGGGATTTTTGGTGGTGGAGAATGGGCACTGGTGAAGGTACGGGTGTTTCATTGTATGACTGAGACTTAGACCCAAAAGCTTTGTAACTGCTCTCACGGCGATTCAATAAATAAAATTATAAAAAATGGGAAAAAAGAGTAAGGTGGAGTTCATGCACAATTCAATCAGCTAATCAGTGGCTGAATAAATAGCAGTACTCCTACAAAAAAAGAAAAAATAAAAAAAAGAAAGGAAAAGAAAAATAGCTTTAATATGGACAGAACCGGAGGGTATTGTGTTTTGTGAAGTCAATCAGAGACGAGCTACAGATACCAGGATGATCTCTCTCATATGTGGGGTATAGAGAAACTTCGTTTGGTAATAACAAATGGTCAAAGACAACAGAAAATAAGAACTGCCTATGGAACTGAGCTTACCAATAAGAGGGACACAGCGGGTAGTTAGGAGGGGACCCTGAGACAATGGTAGAGGAAAATGGACACTCTGGGGTGGAGGGGGCATTGGAAATGGAATATTGTATCCATGAAGACCTATTATTAACAGTATAATAGGCAAATCACAAAAATCCCAAGATGTATTTGTCAATATAGATGTATATAGAAACATACATCTTGGGATTTATATGTATATATGTATGTATGTATTTATATGCACATATATGTATGTATGTATATATGTATGTATATTACATGTGTGAGGTCCTGGGTTCAGTACTCTGCTAGTATATGTTACATAGAGATGTATATGTGTGTTATGTGTTCCTATATATGTGTTCTTTTTGATCATTTTCAATCATCTATCAATCTATCTATTGCAGACTTCCTAATCGATGAGCCATCCCTTTTTTTCTCACACTATATGTAAACAACATGGTTATGAAGTTGTTCACGATGATTTGTTACAGGCATTCAATATTCCAACACTTATCCCATCACCACTGTCACCTTCACTCCACCATTGTCTCCATTTTCCTAACCACCCCTCAGGTCTGTGAACCGTAGCAGGCCCACAATAATTTATTTTGTATTGCTTGTTACCCACAAATGACAATGAACCATCTCTCTCTCTCTCTTTTTTTTTAATTAATTAATTTATTTATTGAATCACTGTGGGAAAGGCTACAAAGCTTTCAGGTTTAGGTCTCAGTCATGCAAATATCAAACACATTTCCCTTTACCAATACTTATTATTTACCATGAAGAACCCCAATAAAACCCCACCCTCCACCCCTCCCAGTCCCTGTGAGGCAGATGAATTCTAGTTAACACTCTATCTGCTTTGATTAGATTCATTGTTTCAATAAAAGATTCACCACTATTATTTAGAGTTTACCGCCCCCCCACCCCCCAAATCAGACATGCTGAAAAAGCATTGTGAAGTGATTTGCTTTCTACAGCTGGGTTCAGAATTAAATGTTGGTTTTGAATTTCTGCTATTTTACTTATTGACCCTGGAAGTATTTCTACTGAAAGTCAGATAGTTAAGAAATTGGTTTCTGTGCTCTGGAGTCGTGGCCGTGCTGGGGCAACTGGTGGCCTTGGTAGGGCGTGTAGGGCGGACCGAAATGCCCCCCTTCCCATGAGGTTTTAGTCGCCCCCACACCCCCGGCTCATACCTGCTGTCCACAAGGCTCCCATGCGGCCGCCATCTTTCTTTCCAGAGAGGAGAGGGCGAATGAGGCAACACCCTTTCCCCTCCGGACAGACATGATGGTCTGGATTAATGCATAGTCCGTTCACTTTTCTGCTCCATGCTGCCTGAACCATCTCTCTTACATAAACACAGAACTATATTTATCAGCAATATCTTAGTGGTTTTATATTTATGCTGAGTGTGAAAATAAATAGTTGAAACAAAGAGTTGAATTTTGGTCCTATTTTTTAAAATAATTTTCTTATTCTTTATTTTCTTTCCTTTTTTTGTTGTTTGTTTGTTGATTGTTTTTGAGCCACACCTGGTAATGATCTTACACTCAGGAATTGCTCCTGGCAGTGCTCAGGGTACCATTTGGGATTACAGGGATCAAACCCAAGTCACCTCTGTGCAAGGCAAGCACTATACCTGCTATACTCTCACTCTGGCCCTGGACAACAATTTTTTTTTAAATCTAGTGAGACTGAACCCAAGGTCAGGGGAGATGTGGTGATGTGTCCTATGTCCACTAAGGGAGCACAGGAGTAGGGTTAAGGGTGGGATATTGATTCTCAAATATTTGAGCTCAAATGTGGCTCTGAGCCCTATATTTTTCATCTATAAAATGGATCCCACAATAGCACCCTTTTCATATGTTTGTCATATGAAGACAAGACTATAAATTTGTAAAGTACCTGCTTAATACATGGTTTACTCTGTGGCATCTACTTTTACTGCTCTGTTAAAGATTTTCTTTCACAGTCCTGTTTTACCCATACAGGCACTCCAAGGATAACTCCAAAAATAGAGGATTTGCCAGGCCACATAGAAGTAAACAGTGGTAAATTTAATCCCATTTGCAAAGCATCTGGTTGGCCTCTACCTACTAATGAAGAAATGACCCTCGTAAAGCCAGATGGGACAGTGCTCCGTGTAAGCTTTATTTATTATCTGCCTTCCTCATATCATTAGATACTTTTAGTGGAGTAATTAGTCCACTAAGGGCTAGATTCTCTCTTGGAATTGCATCTCTGTTTCAGGGATATTCATTTTAACATGTCATTTTCCAGAAGAGTCAAAGCAGACTTCTTGTAGCCTCACTGTCTTCCTTCCCTGCATCAACTACTGCTGCAGTGCAAGGTGGAAAATAAACTGTCACAACAGAAATAATGGAACTGAGTGTCAAGGATTGCTCAGAATTGTTGGACTGTTTATCATAAAAAATTGGTGTCAACCTATGTAAGATTCTCCGCATTAGGTCCATATCTCCACATTACGCCCAATCAGAAGGACCTAACAGCTCTCCGGTGTAGATCAAGAAGAGTGAGGTGGCTCAGTGGTCACAACTGGATGTGAGCCTTGAATAAGCAGGAAATTCATATACTACTTTCCCAGAAGCTACCAGCTTTTGGAGCTTTGATGACTGGTCAAAAGCTGTGTTTGGGGCAGCAGTCAATGGAGTACAGGAGAGTAGAGTCCAACACAGACCATTTGATTCCAGATAGACCTGTTTCCACTTGTCCAAGTCAGAAAGCATGATCCATGGAAAATATTGGGCTGACTGAATGCAGGTCCCATTGCCTCATTGGCTTGCCTGGAGTGCTGGTGTTCACTGCCAGTTCTGGCACTATCTCAGCAATTCTTTGCCGGAAAGGACTAAGCTTCTTTGCAGCATGTTTCCTTCTCTAGCCTAATAATCCTAGGTGTAGCACATAAAATTTCTGTGTCTCATGAATGATACTCAGAAAGTTTAATATCTCCATATCTAAATATTTTGAAATGGTTCATTATCACTATTACTATTACTACTACCCCATTGTTCATCGATTTGCTCAAGCGGGACCAGTAATGTCTCCATTCATCCCTATCACATATTAGTGCAGCCAGATGGCATATTGGGGGCTCTTTCAGGGTCAGGGGAATGAGGACCATCATTGTTACTATTTTTGGCATATCGAGTATGCCATGGGTAGCTTGCCAGGCTTTGCCATGTGAGCAGGATACTCTCAGTAGCTTGCCGGGCTCACCAAGAGGGATGGAGGTTTTGGGGGCAGTCTCTAATCACCTTTACAGGTGTTTCCAGTCAGGCATATACGTGGCAGGAGACTCTCGGTAGCCTGCTGACTTCTCTGGGAATGAGAACTGGACAATAAGAGATCGCGCGGCCAGACCTTGGTTTTATAGTCTCTGGATGTTGGCCGCTGATGGAGTTTCACAGCAGTTGGTGGGTGTAACTGTCTGGAAGATTGGGGATCTGGGTGGAGGAGGCCCAGTCCCAAACCAAGCAGGCTTGGACAACTCAGCCCGGGGTCCCACACACCTGGGTTCCTCTGCCGGTTGCTTCATGTGTGAGGCCCATTCTAGTGTGTGGAGAGTGGTCTCTGCATGGTTGTAACTGGGTCCTGGAGGTCTTCAGCTGCTGGGGCTCTGCTCAGGGTGGAGAGGGAAACTCAACCCGCCCCCCTCCAAGGGGCCCTGGTGAGGACACTCAGGTGCGGGGGCAGGAGACTCTGCATTGTTCTCTTCCGGGAGCTTAGTTTTATAGTCTCTGGATCTTGGCCATTGATGGGGTTGCATGGCAGTTGGCGGGTGTAACTGTCTAGCTACTGGAAGAATGAATGAAATGGTTATCATATTTTTTTCTCTTGAAGATAAATAAAAAGAAACTTGACCAGCATACATTGTTGAGTGACCTCATAGAGGCAGAATAAGTAGAATCCATATACCAGGGGTCAGAGCAGTAGGCAAGTGGATAGGTGTTTGGCTTGCAAGTGATTGACCCTGGTTCAATCCCTGGCACCCTAGATAGTCTCCCTGAACCCCTACTAGGACTGATTCCTGACACAGAAGTAAGCTCTGAGCATCACTGGGTGTGGCCCCCAAACAAAAACAAAAATAAACAAAGAGAATCCACATATTAGATAACCCTGATTCCTCTCAATCAATCTTAGTGGAAGCCAGTAGACAGCTGCCCGATCTTGCTGACTTTCTCATAAGTTGACAGATGTTACAGCTATCATGTAGGAAAGATCAATCAGATGGTCCATAAAGCTTATTTAGCATTGACTTTTTAAAACTTTTGTAGAAATGGAACTGATGAGGTGAATGTAACTAAGGAATTAGTCCAAAGGGACCCAGACTTCACATGTGAACTCAGTTCCATGTGTTTGTAGAGTCCATACTCTACAACTTTTTCCATAACACCATATTCAACAGTCCCTTCAAAATCTCAGGAAATCATTTTGTCCTCTCACCCATATATCTCTGTGTTAGAGTGGAGGGGAACAAATGTTAATATAAGTAGTTTGAAAGGAATTCAGCTCCTTGCTTGTGTTTACCCTACACTCCCAAACACAAATATAACAGCAGGATCCGTGAGGGCGTCAATCCAATATAAACTTTCAGGGCTACTACAATAGTGTGGGAAACAAGCCAATGATTATACCAGCAGTGCATTTAGTTTCTTAATCGCTCCTAAAAACTTTCTTATGAAACAATGAGATGGGGTCAGTGTTGTGGACCTTTGTGTTTTTGCCTCCCTAAAAGCGATTATTTTTTGTATTCAACCTTTCCAGCCAAAAGACTTTAATCACACGGGTCTTCTCTCTGTGGCCACATTCTCCATGGACAGAATCCTCCCCCCTGACTCTGGAGTCTGGGTCTGCAGTGTGAACACGGTGGCTGGGATGGTGGAAAAACCTTTCAACGTTTCAGTTAAAGGTAAACTCCTTTTTCCAGAGGAAGAGCTTGTATCCTGGATGGGCCATGTTTGGTGTCTTTGAGTGTTGTTTCTAGACATAAATGCTATCTGACCCTAAAATGTCTTTTAGATGTTTTTCTGTATAGCAATTACCCTCTTAAAAAATTAAATGCATTACAGCAGAAAGGAGAAGTTGAGTATATGAACTTTAAAGTTGTTCAACTCTAGCTTTAATTTTTGTCCCTAACAACATACATATGGTCCTGAGCAAGTAAGTTTAACCTCTCATTATTGTAAATAAAGTTTATTTCTTTATCTCCCTGAGTTATTGTGAAGATATGTTAAATGTAGAGAATACTTGGAATTGTATCTAGCACAATGTTTGTTAGTTTGTCTTTTTCCATAGAATTTAGTTCCATTTTTATTGTGACCCTTTTCATCATTAAAGAAAGTAACTCAGAGAACCATTATTTTTAGGATTTTTCACATAATATGAAGCCCATAGCTTTACTTTATATTTAATTGATAATTTTATTATTTTTAATTATTTTATTTCATTTTAATTTTACACATATTCAGGCTTTAAATATTATTCATGCTATAAATTATTTCAAAATTCAATTTAATTTAAGTAGATTTATGTTCATTTGTCACTTGAGAGAAAGAAATAAAGTGGGAGCAAACCCAAGTAAACTTAGCTGTTATAGACAGATACCAGGAATTTTATATTTAGAAGTTATTTAGAAGTACTTAAAATCATTTAGACAGAAACACCTAATAGCTCTTTGGTTTATTCTAGTTAAGTGATTGGACTAAGTACTTTCCCCATACTCTCTTATTTTATATTTTCAAAAATATGAATCACGTGCAATAGGTAATTGTCTCCATTTTATTCATCAGGAAACAGGTTAATAAGAATTAGGTCACTTGTCTAGAGCACATCTGGAAAAAAAAAATCTTACCAGGTAGAGTGTCCTAACTGTAAAACCCGTACCTTCTATTTGAGATCATTTTGCTTTCAGAGATTACAAAGCAAGATATTCAAAGATGATTCATGTTAGACCTATTTCATTAGAAATATTTGGAAAATCCTCGAGGTAATTTCTGGAATGAACTTAATGTAAAAAACTTAGAGTGTAATATTTGTAAAGGCCTATGACAACAGTAATGTCTCAAATATAGCTTCATTGATGTGGATTTTCTATTTTGAGATTCCTTGTTAACCACCTCAGAGTCTTGAATTTTTAAAAAAAATTTTTTTATTAGTGAATTACCGTGAGGTACAGTTACAGACTTAACAAACTTTCGTGCTTGCGTTTCAGTCATATAATGATTGAGTACCCATCCATCCTTCAGTGCCCATTCTCAACCACCAATGATCCCAGTATCCCTCCCCTCACTCCCACCCTAATCCCCACCCCACTCCACACCGCCTCTGTGGCAGGGCATTCCCTTTTGTTCTCTCTCTCTCGTTTTGGGTGTTGTGGTTTGCAATAGAGGTATTGAGTGGCCATTGTGTTCAATCTATAGTCTACTTTCGGCACTCATCTCCCTTCCCGAGCGGGTCCTCCAAACACCCTTTGTCACTTCTTTTTATAAGAGCTTGCCATTTTGACTGTAATAAAATATACATCTGATGATTAAACACACTGTGGATTTTACTTGCTTATATAACAAAGCACAACTTGATGGATTTATGTTGTTTAGCATTGCGCTAAACTTGCCTAAGTAAAACATGCATCCAATCTGGGTGGTCCAATTTCTTTAGCATGACCTACCTCCTGTCAGAGGACACTGCTTGATTCCACCTCTAACCAGCTTTGCAAATCAGTGAAAATAGAAATGTTTTACAGTTTCTAGGGCAAAATTATATACCATTATTTTGAATCGCATTTTATAGATTCATTTTAAAATGTAATATGAAATACTTGTCAGGCATATCATATACTAAGCAACAATAATTTTTTCAGAGACTGAAAGAAATTCTGCATGCTGGCACTGGTCTACAGACAAGCAGTTCAAAGTCAATGTCTTAAGTAATTTCCTTCTAAATTTTCGCTTAACCAGCCAATAGGATTTTCTGAATGCTAATTTTTGTCTCAGAACCTGTTTTTTTTTTTTTTAATTTTTGGGTCACACCTGGCGATGCACAGGGGTTACTCCTGGCTCTGCATTCAGGAATCACTCCTGGTGGTGCTCAGGGGACCATATGGGATGCTGGGAATCGAACCCAGGTCGGCTGTGTGCAAGGCAAGTGCCCTACCTGCTGTGCTATTGCTCCAGCCCCTCAGAAACTGTTCTAGGCATTGGAAATGAAGAAATGGGGCATTTGCCTCAGGAAACGAATTCTGGGGCAAGGCTGAAGGAGTACCTGTAATATTAAACGGGGGGGGGGGGAGGGTCAAGCTGCCTTGAAAATATAACATTAAAGCAAAATTTTAAAGGTAAATTCTAAGGATAGAGACTCTTTAGAGATAGAGAGGAAATGTGAATGCACTGACTATTATCATACAAATAAGTTCTTCAAAAATTTTTTCTCTAAAACTTTTTCCCCCATTTTTATAAATTGTTTATATTAGAGATGAACTCTAGGGGCCAGAGAGGTAATATAGCAAGTAGGGTGTTTGTGTTGCATGTGTGTGACCGATCCTGGTTGGACCCATGGCATCCCATATGGTCCCCTGAGCACCACCAGAAGTAATTCCTGAGCACACCCTGAGCATTGCTGGGTGTGCCCAAAAACTGAAACAAAACAAACAAAACAATTGAAATGAACTTTTATTTGTTTTTGTACAATGTCTGTTTGCAAGACTGTTGTAATAAAGATTTCTTTATCCCCCAAGAACCAATTCTCAACCTCTTGAACTTATATTGGCTTCATTAGGAACACATGATTTTTGAGATGTGAAATTATTCTGGAACCAGGAAGATCACATAGGCTGGGGCCATAGATATAACTAAATGGATGAGTAAATGTTTTGCATGCAGAAGATCCTGGTTCAACTCCCAACACTGCAAATGATCCCTTGAGCACAACTAGGATGAATTTCTGAGCACAGAGCTGGGTGTGATCCACCCACATAAGCAAACAATTGAACAAAAAGCAATAAAACCTTTCTTTACTTTTTTTCTTTTTTGGGGGGGGTTACATCCAGTGATATTCAGGGTTAGTCTTGGCTCTGTGCTCAGAAGTTACTCAGGGACTCTATGGGATGCCAGGGATCGTACCCAGGTCAGTCAAATGCAAGGCAAATGCCCTACCCACTGTACTGTCGCTTGGACCAAAAAAATTCCTTTCTTGATTGTAGGCAGGAGAAGTAATATTTGGATAGGAGAAGGGTCTAAGTGGAAGAGGCTTGAGCCAATGAAGGTTCTAGAAACTACTAAGAACAAGGTAACAGACTCTTCTGAAATTCAAAAAGTAATGAAGCCATGCTAACCTTGATCTTAACAACCCATGTCTGACTTAAGAAATTCTGAGCTGTAAAGTAATAAATGCGTGTTGTTTTAAGATGAGAGACAGAGACTGACAAGAATGAGAGAGAGAATAAATAGTCTAGTGGGAAGATGGATATCAAATAATCCCATAATGTCACAAATATCACAAGCAAAGAAAAAGTGTAAGTTCCAGGAAAACATATTTTACACCAGCTTAATTGAGATTCTAGAATTTCCCCTATGAAGAAGTCACATCAGATCTGAAAGTTGATCAAAGAATACTGCAATTTGGAGCACTTTTTGCAGCAGAACATCTCACAAGAGAATAGCAATTAAGGGCCTGATACCGGGACCAGATTAATATGTTGATAGTTGGACGAACTGACACAAATGAGAGATACTAGAAAGTATTGGACAAGGGGAAGGAGTATGAACAGAGGTAGGGGTTCGATTGTGCAGGGCTGTGAAGGTCATTGAAAAACTATGATTTTACTCTATATGTAACATGAATATATTTAAAGGTTTTCAGCAGAGGGATGCTTATATTTAAGAAAGCATTTTGAATTTGGATAACGAGTTGGAGGAATAAGAGCCAAGTCAGTAGATCACAAAGCAGGTGATTGTGTTTACTCTGAGCAGAGAGTACTAAGAGGACTTTGTTCAAAGGTTATCTCTGCCTAAGAACAACACCTGGACCCCAAAGTGTAAAGACTGTAAAAATCTGATTGTTGAAATTTTATTTAGTTCTTCCAAAGCCCCTGAATGCTCCAAATGTGATCGACATTGGACATAACTTTGCTGTCATCAACATCAGCTCAGAACCTTACTTTGGGGATGGACCAATCAAATCCAAGAAGCTTCTGTACAAACCTGTAAATCATTATGCGGCTTGGGGACATATTCAAGGTAAGGCTGGACAGGGAAGTCACCTGCAAGAGATGTGGCCCTAGAAAAGGAAGTTTCACAAAAATAGAAATTCCTTCTCTTTGTTTCAACTCTCTCCTCCAATTTGGTCTCTGTGGCAGAGAGCTTTATTTCTGAGTATTCAAGAGAGCAATGTGGATTCTTAAGTTCTGCGGTTAATGTTTTGGACATTGTGATTCTGTACTGTGGGACATGAAACCAACCTGCATAAAGAGTTAGTTTTGATGTTACTGTTCCCTTTCCTTTGAATCTCTATTCCTGGTTTTAGTTACTCTATCTTATATAATCATGGTAAAAACAAATTTAAAAACACTGTGTTTATGCCATGAATATGATAACAGAGAAGTCCAGGCTTGCTGGAAAAGCAGAGACTTCATCTGTTTAAATCTGGGGGGAGGAGGGATGATAATAGCTCCTATATTGATTTGTTTGTTTTTCTCCATTGAGTCTTGCTAAAGCACAGATCCTGAGAAGGATTTGGATCTGAAAAGTCTGGGTTTTGCCAGACTGGGGGGTGGGGGGGACTGGGGGAGTAGGGGGCTAAGAGGGGTTGAGGCAAAGAGAGTTACCTGCCCCTCCACCAGCTTCCTGAAAGAACAAACAATTGAGCGAAAAGTGGTAATGAGTCAAAAGTTAAAGAAAAATATTGTTATTCATTAAGTTTATTTTAAAATGCAAATTGCAGTTGCATTTTTGCATGATAATACAAAATAATTTTTCAAATGATAACTGAGTATTATCACCTGAACAAGTTGCTTCAGTTGCTGCGTTTTATAGAGAGACCCTCCACTACCAGCTTGTAAGGTATCTGGTATCCCCTCACCAAAACTTTATTTTAACTATGCATATGATGTTCTGAAAAATGGCCCTCTACTAACTTTACATAAATGAAGAAGTTACAAAACAGAATAAAGGGGAAGTTTTTGGCTTCCTACCATTAACCGACCTGAATAATTCAATGGTCATGGAACTCAGAATTACTGAATTATTCTATTATCAATTTAGCCAAATTCAGAATCTCAGAGACTGTTTTTGCCAAACTGCTGAATGGCTAGCTCATAGTAAAAAAACAACTTTTGAGGGTTTTATTTAGTTTGGGTTTTTGCCATGGTGGTAATAATACTAATCCATACTCTCTTTCTATTCATGAATATCCATCCACAAGTGGTCATTTAATAACTCATTTTTTCTTCTAATTGGGAATCTTTTTATAAGTAAACAAAAAACTGCCCATGCAATATCTAGGTAGATATTGATTAAATAATTAAAAGAAAATAAACATGCCTTTCTGTTTCACTAAGACATTGTATTTTAAAATCCCAAACATCAGATCACATTGCAATAACAACATTCCCGTTTAAAGAATGCAAAAGAATGCCAACTGAAGTTTCCTGGACTTTCTCTCTTTCCAGTGACAAATGAGATTGTTACCCTCAGCTACTTGGAACCCCGAACAGAATATGAGCTCTGCGTGCAGCTGGTGCGGCGTGGAGAGGGAGGGGAAGGCCATCCTGGACCCGTGCGCCGGTTCACAACCGCTTCTATCGGTCAGTGGACACAAACAGCATTTATTCACAAACTCGATGGGAGGGGGAGGAAGGGGAAAGAGGAAGGAAGACCAGGAAGGGTGGTGGTGATTGAGTGGGTGGGTGGGGATGGAGGTGGCAGGAGCTTGCTCTGCAGTGGGTGGGAAAGTGACAGGAAGGTTAGGCACTTTGAGCCAAAGCCTTCCTTTATTTGGGCTGCACTCCTTGTCTAGCTCCCCAGGGGAGGGTGTCTGCAGCAACCCTCCGGGACAGAGGAGGAAGCAGATGAATCTTCAGGAAAGCAGGGACATCCCTTAGGAGTTGGGATTTACTTAGCAGCAACTTTGTTGAGCCTTGGCTCTTGTGTTTTGTCACCAGCTTCCTGTTTCCATGTGAAGGGCTGGGATCCAGGTTCTTGTCCCATACATACCTCAGAAACCCCCGTTTATTTATTTAAAAAAATAATGACCAATTTTTCAAAGTAACTCATGCCTGAGCTAAACATCAAATAGAACAGAAAGCTTTTATCTAAGAAAGGATAACCTCCTGCTGCCTCCCCCTCCCCTCACCCCCTCCTGCAGTCTATAGGCAGACAGTTTTACCTCTTTCAGCTGTTTCTTCTCTTAGACACTTCCTTGTTTGTAACTCAGTTCTCAAAAGTGGCACTTGGAGCAATTGCCCAGATAGAAATTTCTGGACCTTTAGGCTCATTCAATAGGGTTGAGGTTAGGTTGGGCATAATTTCTAAGTCAGATGGGTAAGACAAATACCATATGATTTCACTCATGTGTGGCACAGAAACAAAACAGACAAATGAACCAAATAAGACAAAAATAATATTTTAGATTATAAAACTAAATTAATGGTTACTAGAAGAGGGGAGGGTAAATCAGGTACAAAGGGATGAATTGTATGGTGATGAGATAGACTTCTATGTACCTATTTAGTATGTATGCTTTTTGATTTATAGTAATGTCAATCTCAAACATATATATAGTATCATAAATCACTATTACTTCAACAAAAATATTTTTAGCTGGAGATAGGACTCAGTGGTGCTCATGCCTTGCATGTATGAGGTCCTGGGTTCAATAGTAACACTGAAAAAAATATATATATATGCATATATATTTTTGGCTGGAGTGATAGCATAGTGGGCAGGATGTGCACAAATGCCTTGCGCACGATCAACCCAGGTTCTAGTCCTCTGTCCCTCTTGGAGAGCCCGGCAAGCTACCAAGAGTATCCCTCCCACATGACAGAGCCTGGCAAGCTCCCCGTGGCATATTCGATATGCCAAAAAACAGTAGCAAGTCTCAGATGGAGATATTACTGGTACCCTCTTGAGCAAAGCAATGAACAACAAGAGGACAGTACTACAGTGCTATATATATAAATGGGCACTGGTGGAGGGATGGGTACTTAATCATTGTATAATTGAAACCCAAGCACAAAAATTTGTAAGTCTACAACTGTACCTTTTGGTTTGTCACTAATAAAATTTTTTTAAAAACGTGTTATCTTTGCCATCTTATAGAATGAAAGGTTGGGTCTCAGTGAGTTAATAACTTCCCCTTGCAATATCATACTGAATCTTCCAATAAACTTCTGTCTCCAGCTTTTGTTATTTTTACTGAGGAGTTCAAAGGCACCAAGCCCTTATCCCAGTGGATAACATTTCCATGTTTTACGTTGATTTACTAAAAGGATATGGAACAATTCAGTTAAGAATTAGGAAGAATATCTCACTTTCCTGCAGATGCTTATACTGTAATAGAGATGTTTCCTCTATGCCACCCACCTAGTTAGTTTACATCTGAATAGCAGCAGCTTTAAATAACCAAATGGGATTCAAGAGCTACCAGTGTCCTTGCAGGAACATTGCAGAAGTAAGAAATATCTGCCTGGGAACTCAGTGGTTTGTGAGTAAATAACAACAACAACAACAACAATACCAGAAACTGTATATAGGCTAGAGAATAAAGGGATTGATGGGATTATGAATAAAGAAGTCCCAGACATGTTGTCAGGTTGCTGCTAAAATTCAAATTAGCCAGTGTTGAATCAAAAGAGAAAGGTCATAATCTGACTCAGATGGAAAGTATTTATGGAGCAGAACATAAAACACTTCACAGACCCAAACTGTACTGTCTTCAAGCCTCAGAGTATGTTCCAGATAGGATGTATTTAAAGATCTCTTGGAATATCTCAAAGTAGTTCTCAGGGTGGGAAGGTAATGTGCAAGTTTCTTCTTTTCCCATTGCTTGAATTTTGCTGATGTTTGTTTTTTAATTCACTGGCAGTTGCCCTCTTTATAAGTGTGTTGACGGAGTGGTGGAGGCCAGCAGGAGAGGGAATAGCACACACATTCAGGTCAGAGAGGGAGAAGGGTGTGTAAACTCAAAAAGGGCACAGCACAGCAGCTCTATTTCTCCCGCTGCCCGGGTTCGGTAGTCTCATGCCGCTTCCCCCACCCCGGAGAGGTGGATGGCGATGGGCAGGCAAGGGAAGGAATGAGGATGGTTGGTCTTAGTCGCAGTTTATTCCAATCCTCTCTCCATCCACTCCAGTCTCTCTCCTCAGCCTCCGCCTCCTGCTTCTTCCTCCCCCATGCTACTTCATTCTCCTTCTCCATGCCCCTTCATCCTCCTTCTCTGGAGTCTGGATTCTGATTCCTGATCTCCTTTCTCCTCCTTCTGATCCCCCTCTTACAGTCTGGTTAAATCCCAAAGCATGAGGGGTTGGGGTAATAATTACACAAGGGTGTGGTCACAAACAATAGGGGTAGAATTCTTTCCCTCAGGGAAAGCGCTCCTACGACAGATCCTCTCTCAGCAGGATGACCAACCCTAGAGCAGAATCCCGTGGGTGTGTTTCTCCTCTCCTTGTCCGACAAGCATATAAGCATATATAATATAAATAATTTTTATGGATACAGTAAGAAATATCTTAAACTTATAGAATTGCTCTCCTAGGGCCATCTCAATCTCAGACTACAGTGCTCAGGCCAGATAGTCTTTCCCACCTCTAGCAGGATCCTAGTCTTGTCGTTACTTTTGGATCATGACAGCATTTGTCTATGATCAAACTCTTATAGTTAAGAACCGTGGCACTTTGGCCTGGCCATTTTGATGCCAGGGTAGCTCACCGCTTGCCCTGGGTCCATTCAGTCCCTTGTCGGGACCCTGCTTTTGGGGTGTTAGGAACTAAGGGCAACTGAGGCTTAAGTTGAGAAAGCAGATGCCCAGGAGTGAATAATATTCAAAGCCAATTAAATCCTAAGTTACATAGCATAATGTTAACGGTCTTCCTGTATCCATACAGAAAGGGCATTGCTTTAAAGTAAACTGTTCATAAAGCATAAGGAGAGGAGTAAGGCAATATTTCACTCATACATATAAAATCATAGATTTCTGAGGAATCTAACCTTACAAGTTAAGAGTCTGATTAGGGAAAAACTGATTAACTGGTTGGGAAGGAGAGCATAGGGAAGAATTTACAGATAAAAACAATGGAATGGAAATGCCTCAGGAGCACTGTGATGGGTGTAACCAGATAAACCTAAGTTCCTTGTGGAGAAAGGACAAAGCAATGTCATCCTACAGAAGGGAAGATGAAAAGGAAAGACAATGTATTGAATTATGCCTGTTTTTTGTAATTTTTTGTATGGGGAGTGTTTCCCAAGTAATACTCAGGGGACCCTGGGACCACTTCTGCCAATAATAGGCCTGATGCTATTCAGGCTCAACAGCCCTAGGGACCACCAAAGCCAGGCCCACAGTGCTTGGGGGATCATTCGGTGCCAGGAATCAAACTTGGGTCCTTTGCATGATAGATATGCCTTCAGCCCTTTACGTTTCCACTTTTTCCTTAAATTTCTCCTCTGTATCTTAGATTTCACCTTTGAAACATCAGCCCTCTGTTCTGCTTTGCTTCTGTAAGCCTGCCTGTCCACTCTGTGGCTTATTTCGAAATTTAAAGTTTGGAGTTGAGCAAAAGGAACTTACATTGCCTCTCTCCATTTGCAAACATTATCACTTAAAAAATCACTTAACTTCCCGTTAGTCATCGATTTGCTCGAACGGGCGCCAGTAACGTCTCCATTTGTCCCTGTCGCGTGCTAGTGTAGCCCAATGGCATCTCTTCGCTCCGGGAACATGGAGGGCCTCAAACCAATCGTTCATGATCTTGACAAAGAAGTCTGACCATCTGGTAGGTGGGCGGCCACGCGGTCTCTTGACATCCCGTGGAATCCAATCAGTAACAGCTCTAGTCCAACGGTCGTCTTTAAATCTCATTACGTGACCAGCCCATCTGATTTTCGACACCTTGGCAAATGAGACAGCGTCCCTGATCCTTGATCGTCCACGGATGTCAGAACTCCGGATTCGTTCTCTCATTTGAGTGAAACGTGATATTCCAAGCATAGCTCTTTCTATTCTTCTTTGGGAGACCTGAATGGCGTTCTCATCTTGTTTGCGTAGGGCCCAGGTCTCTGAGGCATATGTTAATGCAGGAAGAACAGTGGAATCAAAGAGATGTGCCCGGAGCCGGAGGTTCTTCGTCCTCTTAGCTATTTCTTCGACGTTCTTGAAGGCGTTCCAAGCCGCTCTCTTCCTCCTGCGCAGCTCGGGTGCCAGGTTATTTGTCATGTTGACCTCTCGACCTAGGTACACATAGCTGTTGCATTCGGAGATGGTCATTCCATTGAGAGCGAATGGGGCGTCAGGAACAAGGCTGTTTCTCATAAACATTGTCTTCGTAAGATTCAGCTGTAGTCCTACCTTTCCACACTCACGGTCAAAGTCGGCCAGCATTTGTGCCGCTTGGCTGATGTTTGGTGTTATTAAAACAATGTCATCAGCAAAGCGGAGGTGGTGTAGTTGCCGACCATCTATCTTCACTCCCATTCCTTCCCATTCCAGTCGTCGCATGATGTTCTCGAGGGTGGCACTGAAGAGTTTCGGTGAAATGGTATCACCCTGCCGCACCCCTCTCTTGACATCAACGATCACTTCTTTGTAGAATGGTGAGATCCTGGTAGTGAATCCGCAATACAGCTCACGGAGGATCCTGATGTATTGGGCTTGAATGCCCTGATTGGCTAGGGCTTCAATGACCACTTCCGTCTCAACAGAATCAAAGGCCTTCTTTAAATCAATGAACGTTAAGCAGAGCGGCATCTTGAACTCCCGAGAAACCTCAATGAGCTTGGTTATCGTGTGGATATGGTCGATGGTGCTGAATCCTTTGCGGAACCCTGCTTGCTCACATGGTTGTCCTTCATCTAGTGTTCTGCCAATCCTATTCAGGATGACTCGAGTGAACAACTTGTAGATGACAGACAATAGGCAGATCGGGCGATAGTTGCCAATGTCATGGATGTCTCCCTTCTTGAACAGTAGTACGGTCCTGCTGGTTTTCCATTGGGACGGAACCTTGCATTCAGACAGGTAGCGAGTGAAGAGCCGAGCCAGTGTATTGATGAGTACTGACGGCAGGTTCTTCAGGTGTTCAGGTCTGACCTTGTCTGGGCCAGGTGCTGTTTGCTTCTTTACCGACGAAATGGCGTGTCGGATTTTGGAAGGGAGAACGTTGGGAACGACATACCCATCCTGTGGAATTTGGTATGTCGGCAAGTGGACATGGCTATCGAAGAGATTTGAGTAGAAGTCATGGATAATCTTCTCCATTGCCGTTCTGGAGGATGTGATGGATCCATCAGGACGTCGGAGGGCAGTCATCTTGGTCTTATAGTTGGCGAAGGACAGGCGGGCGTTACGAATACTTTTCCCGGCTTCTGCCGCATCTACCAGTACTTCTGCTCTTCTCTCTTTGAGGTCTTCCTTGATCGCATCTCTGCACTGCTTTGAGAGCTCGGACGTTAGCTTGCGGTTGCCTGAGGCATGCGCCAAACCACGCTGGCAAATTAGCTCAAGAGTTTTCGAAGATAGGCGACTTTTTGTGGCTATCTCTCTCTTGGCGTTCCTCGCACATTCATGGAGGTGCTGAACCAGTCGATCGTATTCCTCGTCAATGTTGTCAACAATGGCATCTTCCCATGTTGCTGCAATAGTACCAAAGAGTTCCCAGTTGGTGGTCATTTTGGGAGATCTCTTTTTGAACTTTGCAGCCCTTTCTCCCCGCTCTGTGAAGTAGAATTTTGCACGAAGGAGACGGTGATCCGATCCCATTCGAAATTTTGGGACAACAGCGACATCAGTCAGGCAAAACCGTCGATTGAATATGATGTGGTCTATTTCGTTGTGGAATCGTCCACCGGGAGACTCCCATGTCCATCGTTTAGATTCTGCCTTCTGGAACTGTGAGTTACCATGAATGGTCTTGGTCGACATGATGAACTCAGACAGTCTCTCACCCTGTTCGTTCCATTCTAGGCCATGGGTCCCGATGTGAAGTTCTTCAGCTGATCTTCTCGGTCCTATCTTGGCATTAAAATCACCCACAATGATCTTGTAGAAGGTGTGGTCTTCTTTATAGAACTTCTCTAGCTCCATGTAGAACTTCTCGATTTCTCTTTCATCATAATGAGATGTTGGTGCGTAGACAACGAAGATAGAAACTGCAGGCAGTGAGCCACATCTATTCAAATGTAAACGTCCGATTCGGGTTGTTAGGCATTCGAATGAATCAATGCTCTTGGCCAAGTTTGTGTTGACAAGGACACCGACGCCTCCGACACCTCTTTTATCGCATGTTCCGAGGAATAATTCTTCTCCAGTGTCGAAAACGGCATGGTGAGATTCGTGCCTCCTTGTCTCGGTCAGACCAATGATGTCGTACTTGATCATTCGCGCTTGTACCATCAGGTCCTCCATGGATGCATCTGATGCTAGCGTACGTGCATTGAAAGTACAGACGATCATTTTTGTCTTCCTTCGTTGTGGCAGCCTAGGTCGGCCTTGAGATTTTGTCGGCCTCTCCTTTCTCATCCTTCTCAGTGCTGCCATGTCGGTGAAGCCTCCAGGGTCAGGTGAATGAGACCAGTTGTAGTTACTGGTCACTACTTCCACTACCCAGCCGTTGCCACACTCCAGGACGCTTTCCGGACCCGCGCGGCCGCTTGCGACACATCATAAGACACTAAATACCCATCTTCTGGAATTGTCGTACCATATTTGATAGGGTTCAAATATGGTAACACCTACAAGGGGGATTAGAGGTCACCCCAAAAGCCTCTATACCTCTCGGAAAGACTGGCAAGCTACTGAGAGTATTCCGCCCGCACGGAAGAGCCTGGCAAGCTATCCGCTGTGTATTCGATATGCCAAAACCAGTAACTACAACTGCAAACATTATAGAGAAAGGAATTATAAGACTTTTAGCGTAATGATGAACAAATGGTATAACCTGCTTATTGGTTCTTCCTCATGTTAACTTTGTTTTAGAGCTGGCCAGAGAGTCACTCTCCTGGTGGATAAAAATTCACCCTTCCTCTTGCTTCTCACTGAGTTATAGCAGTTATTTCCCTATTTTTTAAATTGCTCCCTGAATAATTAGATTTTTTTGTCCCAATGACTTCTTTACTGTGAAATTTTAATAAAACAGATTTCCTTTTATATATAGTGGCCCTTCATAAACTACTTCAGTATCTAAAACTGTCTCATGCCCCTAAGAGCCAATTTGTCTCTTAGGGGAAATAATGTCCTCACTGTATATTATGAGTCTGAGGGTCTTTATTCTGTTTTATGTCTGGAATTAAAAAAAATTATTAACTGAAAAAACAAATGTTTCTTTGTGCACTGACACAACATATGTGTCAGTCTTTTTTTGCAGGAGGGGGTAGAGGTGGAGGAGGGTGGGACACATGTCTAAGACATATCTCTTCCTTTGAAGAATGAAGTAGGAGGGAAGGAATGTTAAAAGAGCTCCTAGTACCTCCCAAGAATTTTTACATCTGACATTCCAAATGGTTCCTGACACCCTATTCGCTCTCAATGGAACGACCATCTCCGAATGCAACAGTACCTAGGTAGAGAAGTCGACATGACAATGACCTGGCGCCTGAGTTGTGAAGGAGAAAGAGAGCAGCTTGGAACACCTTCAAGAGCGTAGAAGAAATAGCTAAGAGGAAGAAGATCCTCTGGCTCTGGGCACATCTCTTTGATTCCTCTGTTCTTCCTGCATTAACATATGCCTCAGAGACCTGGGCCCTAAGCAAACAGGATGAGAACGCTATTCAGGTCTCCCAAAGAGGAATTGAAAGAGCTATGCTTGGAGTATCACGTTTCACTCAAATGAGAGAAAGAATCCTGAGTTCTGACCTCTGTTGATGATCAAGAATCAGGGACGCTGTCTCGTTTGCCAAGGCATCAAAAATCTGATGGGCTGGACATGTAATAAGATTTGAAGATGATCACTGGACTATATTTGAAGATGACCGCTGGACTAGAGCTGTTACCGACTGTATTCCACGGGACGTCAAAAGACCAGGTTGCCGCCCACCTACCAGATGGTCAGACTTCTTCATCAAATCCTGAACGATTGGTTTGGGGCTCTTAGTGTTCCTAGAACAAACAGATGCCATTGGGCTACACTAGCATGCGACAGGGACAAATGGAGATGTTACTGGTGTCCGCTCGAGCAAATTGATGATTAACGGGAAGTTAAGTGATCAAGTGATTCCACTTATTCCTCCTGGGTCTGGAAGATGAGTTTTCACTTTCTCTTACTCATGAACTTGGAGAACTTAGAATTTTTCAAGGTCACAAGACAAATGTGGCATGCTCCTGTCTCTTAGATTTTAAAACCCATGGAGTTTCCAGTTTGTTAATTTTTGTGGGGAGGCTGTTTTTTTGTGGATAATTGGAATTAGGAATCTTGTTGCTGAAACTCTGACTAGAGCTTGGTCTGGTTCTGTTATCTCTGCCGCTATGATGTCTGAAGTTCTCCTTGTCTTGGAGAAATATTCCTCCAATTATTTTAAAATGTACTGCTTAAAAAACATAGCAGAAACACTGAACCCACAATCCCACAATTTTGGCAAATCCACTGTTTTCACTTTTATCAGCTTCCTTCCTGCCTTTCACTAATTGTAGACATGACTTTTACAAGTTGCAATCAGAGTTTCTTATTCATGTATCATAAACAGTTTTACTGGGCTTCCAGTCTTTCCCCTGTAATCTATTTTATTAATTAACTGATTTGGGAGGGTGGGAGTCACACCCACCAGTGCTCAGGGGTTCTTCCTGGCTCAGTGCTTGGGGGACACTCCTGGTGGTGCTCAGAAGATTGTGATGCTGGGGTTCAAACCTGACTTTTCTACATTCAAAGTGTGTGTTCCTGTTTGCTGAGTGCTCTTTGCAGCCCAATGATCTATTTTAATTCGTAAGCTAGTTATATTAAAATGTATTAAAGTCTATTTTTCTCTTGAACATTTAAACTTCTACAAATTATTTACTGTTCCAAATATCACAATAAGCATCTTTGTGGTTATATTTTCTCTTTCTTGAGATTATTTCTTGAGGCTAAATCTGTTAGTCAAATTTAGCCTGGTAGGGTCAAAGTACATATTGTTTCTAGGGCTCTTGAAACATATTTTAAGCTTTTCTTTAAAGGTTTTATCATTGTATGACAATTATTCAAATTAAAAATTAAAAATATTTTAAAGTTTTGTTAGTTTGAAAAAATATATCACATGGATGGTAAGGTATGTTTCTTTGATAGCTTGTAACATTGTATGTTATTCCAGATGCCGTGGTTCCATGGTTAATCTGTAGTACTACATTTTAAGACTAAAACTATCTTTACTTTCTATTAAGAATGATTTTTTTATTTTCTTCTAGGTCTCCCTCCTCCAACAGGTCTCACTCTCCTACCAAAAAGCAAGTACTCTCTAAATTTGACCTGGCAACCAATACCTAAGGAGTCTTTAAATATTGATGATGACTTCTATGTTGAAGTAGAGAGGAGGTCTGTGCAAAGGAACAATGATCAGCAGAATATAAAAGTGCCAGGCAACTTGACTTCAGTGCTACTTAACAATTTGATGCCCAGGGAGCAGTACGTGGTTCGAGCCAGGGTCAACACTAAAGCCCAAGGAGAATGGAGTGAAGATCTCACAGCTTGGACCCTTAGTGATGGTATGTAACTTAAGATGCCCCAGCTTTACCCATAAAGCCTCTGGTCACAGTCATTTGGACTTTCCTCCCATTACTTCAAGATTTAAAAGGTTGGGCTTGAGTGATAGTACAGTGGATAGGGTATTTGCCTTGCAAGCTGCCCATCCCCTAGCCCCAGCATCCTATATAGTCCCCCAAGCACCGCCAGAAATAATTCCTGAGAATTATTTACCCCTGCATCTCCAGATGTTGTAAAAAAATATGCGCGTGGGGAAGGGTATGATGTGTGTTCACGGGCTCTCTGGGCAGCTGTCTCTCACCGTTTGTGTTTGGTGCTCTCGAGCTGCTGTGCATGGACGGGATCAGGACAGCTGTTGGCGATGGGCAGGCAAAGGAAGAACAAGGACCAAGCTGGTTGCTGATTAGCTGCATTTAGTCAATCTCTCATCTCTCCCATCTCACACAATCTTCCTTCCTAGCCCCATATTCCTAGATTCCAGATTCCCTGACTCTCATCCTGACTCCGACCCGCTGGATTCTGACTGACTCTTCTCGCTCTGATGACTCCCTGACCTTCTTTTTCAGCCTTTGTTCTCTGCTTCTTCTTCCCTGGATCCTGACTTTCCTCTTTTACAGTCTTAGTTTATACAGCAATCACATAGGGTGGTGATGCAAAGGTGGGGCTGAACATTAACAAATCAACAAAGAGAGGGAAGGCTTCTCCTCCAGGATATTAACTCAAGGACAAAATCTCATCTAAAGAGATTACTCCAGATTACTAGGAGATCTGCTTAAGGGTAGGATCCCAGCCAGGGTGTGTCACTTTCTTCTTTCCTCAGCTAGTCACAAATCACAAATCATCCTGTTATTCGTCGATTGCCTCGAGCAGGCCCCAGTAACGTCTCCTTCATCCTAGACCTGAGATTATATTCAAGGCTCTTTAGGAGAATGAAACCCATCATTGTTACTGGTATTTGGCATACTGGGTACGCCACGGGGAGTTTGCCAGACTCTGTCGTGTGGGCAGGCTACATTCGGTAGCCTGCCAGTTTGTCCAAAGTAGGAATGAGATAATAAGATGTCATAATAAGTTACGGGAGCTGATTTTTATAGTCTCTGAGTCTTGGCCGTTGATGGGATTACACAGCGCCAGGGGGCCAGTTGGTGGGTGTGACCCCCGCCTACTGGAATTTGGAGGATCTGGGTGGAGGATGCTCGGCCCAAATCCCCCAAATCCGGGTAGGCTTGGAGATCTCGGCCCCGGAACCCGCGTGACTTTGTGCCATCATGCTGAGACCACTCTCCGCACACATGAAGGTACTGGTAGAGGGACAAAGTCACGCGGGTTCCTCAGCTAGTAATCCACTTAAATAGTTGTAGTAAATCTACTTCTAATATTTCTAGCAATGTCGTTCTGTATGAGCACAGTAAGAGATATATCAAACTGGTTTAGTTTGGTTCTTCCTGAGGACATCTCACTATATATTCCAGGTCAGTTTAGTCTTCCTACCCCCAGCAGAGTCCTAATCTCATTGGATTAAGATCATGACAGCATTTGTCCATGACCATACTCTCAGTTTATAGTAGAGTATTGTGGCGCTTTGACCTGGTCCATTTCGATTCCAGGGTAGCTCACAGTTTGCTCTGGGTCCATTCAGTCCCTCGACGGGACCCTGCTTTTGGGGTGCTAGGATAAGGGCAACTGAGTTGAGAAAGCAGATGCCCAGGAGTAAATATTATTCGGAGTCAATCAACTCCTAAGTTGCAAAAGCATAATATTAACTATCTTCCTGTGTCCATACAGAAAGGACATTGCTTTAAGGTAAACTATGTAAAAGACATAACTTACAATACAAGTTCAGTGTCCTTAGAAGGATCTGATCTTACAAGCTAACAGAATATGATTAGGGAGAAGGTGGTTAACTGGTTGGGGAAGAGGGCACAGAGAAGAGTTTACAGATAAACGAAGGAATGGGAGTGACTTGGGAGCACTATGATGGGTGTAATCCAATAAACTTGAAGTTCCCTGCAGAAAGTGTGAAAGGACAAACCAATGCCATCCTACAAGGTGTGACCCAAAAGGCAAAGAAAAAAAAAGAAAAAAAATTAGGGAAAAAAGGACTTAAAAGTTTAAAAATTTTATTTTATTATAATTTAGGTTAAATGGTAACAATATTGTTAAAATATATGATGTTGAAGTGCAAAGTTACAGCAACCCACCAACATCAAAGTGTCCACCAAAGCTCCACCACTGTCATTGTGTCACTGCTACATTGATTTTAACCCCCCTCTTCTCACCTCACACTACCCTGCACTGCTTGGTGATTGGTTTCACAATCGAGGTCAAAGGTTTGTCCTTGTTCTATACTGTCTGCTTTCTTTGTTTTGTCTCACGGTGTTTCACAGATGAGTAAGCTCATCCAATATTTGTATTTCTCTTATTGACTACTTTTGCTTAATGTTACATTCCTCAGTTGCATCCACATTGCCAAGAATTGCATGGTTTCATCATCTCTTATAGTTGCATAGTATTCCACATGTATGCATGCCAAAGTTTCTTTACTCATTCCACTGTCAATGGACATTAGATTGTTTCTGTATGCTGGCTGTTGTACTAAGTACTACAGGTGTGCATATATCTTTTCAAATTAATATTTTTGTATTTGGGGGTAGATGCCAAGAAGTGGAATTGCTGGACTGTATGGGAGTTCTATTTTACCATTTTTCAATTGAGAAATCTCCAACTGCTTTCCTTAGAGGCTGAAATAGATGACATTCCCACCAACAGTGCATGAGGGTTCATTTAACTAACACCCCCACCAATGCTATTCATTACTATTCTTTTTGAAACAAGTCATTCTCACACATATCTCATGATTGTTCTTATTTGCTTTCCCTGATAATAAGCAATGATGAACATTTTTTACTATGCCTATTGATTATCAATCTTCTTTGAAGAAGTGATTTCAAGAATATTTCTTGAAATTGGCAAATGTTCCATGTACTTAAATTTGCAATAATTTAGGTATGAATGAGCTAAAATTTACCTCACGCAGGTAAACGGAATTAGTTATTAAGTAAATGAATAACATGAATAAGATTTTTCTAGGTTTTATTTAGTTCTATTAAACAGATATCAGGATTGTCACATAGCTATCTGCAGAGATATTTATTTAAAATGGATCTTGCCTAATATTAAATGCTAAATAAGTTTGCTTGAAAAAAAATCTCCTCAACAGTCAACTTTTGTGGTTTCAATATTTTCAATATATGCATGAGAATAACAAAACCACTCTCCCCCCCCCCAACAAATACTCTCCATTTTAGGTTTTTCTATATTACAAATTTGTCATTTTAAGTTAGTTGGACTAAAACTACTTCTTGGGTAGTATTAAAAGCTTTTATTTAATTTAGTGGAGTGTTTCATTTAGAATCATTGCATTAGAATTGTAATTTTGCACTTTTGAGTCCTTGGGAAGATGAAATATTTCTTGGTCACACCAATTACCACATAAATAAATCTGTACTATATGCTCTGAACTTCTGATGTCTGAGCCTCTTCTGCAGTTGGAGCTTGATTTCTTTTCACAGTAATAGATATGGAAATTGATTCAATGTTTCTCCAGCAATACTTTATCGGTATTTAGACATTAGTCATCATTTAAAAAATTCTGTGATATATAGACTTTGCAAATGGATTAAAAAAATAAGACTCAAATGTACACATTCCTAAAATTAAACATAGTTAACTTTTTTATATTTGCTTTTTCTATTCATTTATGAAAGTAATAGCAAGAGGGATAAAGAAAAATATGTTTTTGAGGGGTTTTGGGTCACACCAGGGTTCTCAGAGCTAACTACTCACTCCTACTCACTCTGTACTCATGAATTACTCCTGGTGGGCTTGGGGACCATACGTAGCGCTAAGGATGGAAGTCAGCTTGGCTGCATGTATAGCAAATACCCCACCCACTGTACTATTGCTCCAGCCCTAAATAAACTTTTGAACATCATTCCTGCTCTAAACTATCTCCTTCTCCCCACTGACAGCCAAATTTATGAATTTGTTACTTTATTTAAATTCAGTGCTTGGAAATAGGGGAAAAATAAATTCAATACTGTCTATATTAACACATTATACACATCAAGAAGTTATACGTATATACATATTAATCTTTATCTTGATATCTGGGCTGGGGCTGGAGTGATAGCACAGCAGGTAAGGTGTTTGCCTTGCAAGCAGCCAATATGGCTGACCCGAGTTCAAGTCCTCCACCCCTCTCAGAGAGCCCCGCAAGCTACTGAGAGTATCTCGCCCGCAGGGCAAAGCCTGGCAAGCTACCCGGGATGTATTTGATATGCCAAACACAGTAACAACAAGTCTCATGATGGAGATGTTACTGGGTCCACTTGAGCAAATTGATGAATAACGGGAGGACTGTGATGCTGATATTTGGGCTGGAGCAATAGCACAGTGGGTAGGGTGTTTGCCTTGCCAGCCAACATAGCTGACCTGAGTTCGATTCCTCTCATATTTGATATGCCAAACACAGTAACAAGTCTCACAATGTTACTGGGCCTGCTTGAGCAAATTGATGAACAATGGGAGGACAGTGACAGTGACAGTGATATCTTGATATTTGTTCAGATCTTATGTGGACCTGCATAATATTTTATATCATTATTTTTTCTGTTCACTTTTAGATAGACATTTTCTTTCTTTCTTTTTTTTTTTTTTGACTTTTTGGGTTACACCTGGAGATGCACAGGGGTTACTGGCTTTGTACTAAGGAATTACTCCTGGCAGTTCTTAGGGAACCGTACGGGATGCTGGGAATTAAACCCAGATCGGCCATGTGCAAGGCAAACGCCCTTCCTGCTGTGCTATTGCTCCAGTCCCGACATTTACTTTCTTTTTCTATTGGAACAAAAATGAAAGAAAAAGAAACCCAAATTATAGTGACACAAATTTCTCCATGCGCATGGATATGAGAACTTTTTTAGGAAGCATGTACAGAAAATGAACTGATGGGCTATTTATTTCTCTCTTTATTTTATTAGTTGGCATTTGGTCTATACCCAACTGTACTCAGGCCTTACACCTGGCTTTGCACTCAGATTTCATTCCTGGCAGGCTTGGGGACCATATGAGATACTGGGGAACCGGGTCTGTGGCATACAAGGCAAGCATCCGTCCCGCTGTACCATTGCTCTGGTCCTGATTTATGTCTCTCTAAAGTATCTATTCAGTGTGCATAATATCCAGAAGTTTATGAGACCATTATTTTTCCTATATCCACCTCTATATTTATGTTCTTTCCCTATATCATTTGATACTGTCAAATACTTTTTCATTTTGTCAACCTCTAAGATAAAAAATGGTGCCTTACTATTGATTTCAATTTTAGTTCCTTGATAATTAAAAGTTGAGCATATTTTCTTTGCTACTTCATTCAGCATTTGGATTTCTTCTTGTTTAATGTTTGTTGATATACATTGGCGATCTGCTGTTGGTTGACTTTTATTGCTGTCTTGTTAAAAATCATTAATTTGAATACATCTGTTTATATACATTGCTTATGTATTCTCCCAAATCTCTTTATTTTCATCTTATATCTTGTAGGCAGTTTAATTTAAGTAAAATTAGACCTGTCAATTTTTCGCCCCTGTGGCTCGTACTGCTTATGTTTTGGAATTATTCCCTATTGTGAGGTCATAAGTATATTCCCCATATTTCTACAGTAGTTTCTAGAGCTTTGTTTTGCAATTTTAGAACTTAAAAAAAAGGACTTCTTTGGGGGTTTAGTATAATTATTTAAATCTTATTGATTGGCATATAATAAGACAGTGGTTCAAGTGCCACAGGTTGAATAATCCCCCAGTGATTCATAATGTTTGTGTATCACATGCCAAATTCTCTTCTTGGTTTTGCATCAATTTTGAGGCACAGTTCTCGTCCCTTGACCTGTACAATTTTTTTCCTGTACCATTTCCAACCTTTTAAATTAACAGAGATTTGTTAAAGGTCTTGATAATAATAGATCAAATAACTTTCTGTGTTCAAAGTTGTCTTACATAATTACTGATTTTATATAAAGGCAGTCCTTGGACTCATTCACTATAAAAATAGCATTATCAATATCATATTTGAAGGATTAAATGAAAACAAACTAGTAGTCAGTGAAAGTTGACTTACCTTGGACAGTTTTATGGAATCACTTGGGGTTTTGGCTCTCCTACAAAATTTGTAGGAAAACAAATTTGGTCCCCGAATAATCAAGAACTTAAGGAAAATGTGAATGTCAAAGTTTTGATCTCATTTGATATCTTTGCTAATGTGCTATGTTATCATTCGTTGCATATAGGTTGTCCTAAGTAAAATTAAATGCTTATAGTTATAATTTTTTTGTCAGTACATAGGCTAGCAATTCTATCTTGTTAAGTGATAAGAATTAGTTTAAGGAATATCTATAACAACTTGGACAATATTATATTTACCATGGGTAAATATAATAAAAGACAATTCTTCAAGCATAAGAAAGGAATTACTTTAAGTTAGATTTGGTGTATGGTCCCAAAAATATATAAAAAAATCTATAATATATTTCTGTATGTGTATTAAAATAAATTTATGCTCGAGCGGGCCCAGTAACGTCTCCATTGGAGACTTTGTTGTTACTGTGTCTGGCATATCGAATACTCTCGGTAGCTTGCTGGGCTCTCCGAGAGGGGCGGAGGAATCGAACTCGGGTCGGCCATGTTGGCCGCTTGTAAGGCGAACGCCCTACCCGCTGTGCTATCGCTCCAGCCCTGTGCTATTGGAGTAGAAAAGGAATTAATATATTTAACAGGGTAAGACCACTGAGACACAAATGAATATGAGTGAGTTGACCAAAGTTTTCTAGCAAGCAATATGTGGGACTTGGGATTCTAATTCCATGTTTTGTTGGTTTTGGCCAAACCACCATGCCCATTCATCTCTTTGGATAGGCAATCAAATGCCTCAAAGAAATTCTTGTATAAATTATTTGAGCAGTCATACCCTACTTTTAAATAGTCTGTTATGATTAACATATCTATAGTGTTTTAGAATCGACTTTAGGGAATTTCTAAATGCAGATTGTTGGACTCAGACTCACTGAATCTAAATCAGACGTCTATTGAAGCAGTGTTTCATGGACACTTGCAAAAATAATTAATATAATTTTGATGCCAACCAATGCTTAATACATTTGTACATTTGCAATTGATAAATGGATACATGCTTGAACCTAAAATAAAAGTAATTATGATTAATCACTGTTTCTTTTCTTTTTTTTTTTTGAATCACTGTTTCTTGACTGGCAAACATATTCATCTTTTCAGTATCAGAGCTACTATTTATCTGTAATTTCTATAATAAAATTTGAAGTTTTAAAAACATCTGGGGCTGGATAACCTTCTGTCTGTGGATAAATCCTTTCTCTTTAGTGTGCAATTGTTCTTACTGTAGGGTGAGTTTCTCTTGGTCCATCATTTCTTTCATCTTGTTTGAGTGGAAATGGGGCCACATAGGGAACTAGGGTTGATGTTTAGTAATCTTCGGCAGATTTTCTGTGATTACACATACAGATGGGGACACAAGATCGAAGCTAGATCTTTTGTGACATGTTTTTCAAGTCAACATAGTGTCCACTGCCAAATGATTGGATTTACCATGATTAAAACACCCCTTAATTAATCATGCATGTTTATGAACTAGAATTAGTTTACTCAGACACATATTATCTAATCTATAGTAGTATATATTAAGTGAAATAATTCTGTTGTTTTTGTTTTTAGTTCCTCCTCCTCAACCACAAAATATTAAGATTTCCAACATCACAGACTCCTCAGCTATGATTTCTTGGACAATCTCGGATGGTTTTTCTATTTTTTCTATTATCATCCGTTACAAAGTTCAGGGAAAGAGTGAAGACCAACACATTGATGTGAAAATCAAGAATGCTACCATCACCCAGTATCAGCTCAAGGGCCTTGAACCTGAAACAGCCTATTTGGTGGACATTTTTGCAGAGAACAACATAGGTCCAAGCAACCTGACCTATTCTCATGAACTGATAACTCTCTCTAAATCTCAAGGTTGGTAGATAAAACATGCATTTACATAAGATTACTTCTGGAGAATTTCAAAAAACTTTAAAGTCTTAACACTTTTACATCATCTTTGTGTCTTATGACATCATTCATTTATCCTATGGGCTTCAGTAACTCCAGGAGATCCTTAAGATGTAAACACCCCTGGGAAAAATATCTGGTTGATTCATCTTCTATTTTTAAACTTTAATTAAATTTGCTTATTAGCTCCTCCCATCCATTCATGGAAGCTCTAAAGAATGTGAATTTGATTCCAAGGAGAACAAAGGTGGGACATGCTTTCTGGAGGCAGGCTTGGACAGGTGCTTTGGTGGGAGAATCTAAGACTTGAATTCTTTATCAACATGATCTTTCTTTTATAAGAATGATCTCAAAATGAGCTCTTTTGTAAGCTTGAATGACTCTGTGTTGCTCCAAGTATCCCTTTGATTTTTAATTTCAGATTGCAATGTCTCCATACCCATAACTAATAATGGAGGGAGAAAAACTTTTTAAAAAATTTTTATTAGTGAAACACCATGAGGTACAGTTGTAGGCTTACAAATTTTTGTGCTTGGGTTTCAGTTATACAATGATCAAACACCCATCCCTCCACCAGTGCCTATTCTCCACCACCACTGATCCCAGTATCCCTCCCACCCCCCATCTCCCCCACAAAAGGGCATTCCCTTTTGTGGAGGGAGAAAAACTTTTTCTTGTTGTTTGGTATTTTTCATTAAGGTTTGGTTTTGTTTGGAGGCTACATTAGGTGGTATCCAGGATGATCTGGTGCGGGAAAGGAAACCTGGGCTCCTATATGCAAAGCATGTATTTCAGCCCTTTCAACCATCTCCTCAGCCCCAAGAGTAAGCTCATTGAACCAGAGATCCATCAGAGTTTCAAGATGTGTCTAAGTGTCTGTAATTGATAAAACCTGTTGAATTTTAAAAGGCCATAGAGGGCAGGACTGTTTGCAGCCTATTTGAAATAGCATCTTCAAGACCTGTGAGCTGTGCAAAAATTAACTTATTCAAGTGAATGTCAATAGAGGGAAAGTACAACTTTCACTAATACATATTTTTACAGAAAATATATTTTTACAGATATTATAGTATTAAAATTTTTTGGGTTCAAGGTTTTCCTTGGGATTTAGAATTAAAGTCAAACAAATTATATTTTTAGTGCTGTTTCTTTGAAATAGTTTTGAGATGCAAAAGGAATGAGTCTTCTAATTAGAAATAGTCGTAGTTATCCAGTTATGTCCTTTATAAATGTTTCATTTTTATAGTTGTGGTTTGAAAAATATATGCAGGCCTTAAACACAAGGCATATATAAACTACAAACAGGACAATGACATAAACAACAAAAGAAGAGTCCTATCATTCAATTTTAAGCATCTCTTTATGTACATATAGAGGGAAAAGGAAAGACAGATCATTGCAAAAGAACATTTGTAAAAAGATAAACTCTCACTCAACATGTTGTCTATTATAAAAAGAAACTACATTACATTGTATTTTACCTTAAATTATGGAAAGTGGAAGAATTAGATAACAGTTTTTAACAGTTTATTTTGACCTGACACCTATTTTTTAAATTTTTATCTTCTATTCACCCTCCTTCCATTCCTCTCTCTCTCTCTCTCTCTCTCTCTCTCTCTCTCTCTCTCTCCTCTCTCTCCCTTCTCTTGTTGATATTTTCAGATTTTCTCTATCTGTTCTTAAAACTATACAATTTTTGAAAAAGGATCTTACAGACTCTACTTCTTAGCATCATGGAACTTTAAAGATTTTTTTCAGGTGAAGCAATTGTCACACTCCTAAACCCACACGTATAGGTAGTTACTCATTCTCACTATGATCTGATAACAATCATGTGCTTTCCCTCTACTTGGAAATAAAAGGAGGAAAAATGACAATAGCCAAAAGTCAACATATTGCCATTAAAAATTCCTTTGCATATTCAGAAATGAGTTTTAGAAATGAGTACCAGGTTGGGGAACCAGGCTAGCATCACCGTCTACCTTCCCATAATGTTTTGACTTCTTCCACAAATGGTGTTGGCTTTTGTCTCCCTAAAGTAACCCTGCTGCTTCTACTGTGTTCTCCTTCACAGCATTAGGGGACCTCGGAGGTGGAAAGATGCTGCTCATAGCCATCCTCGGCTCTGCAGGAATGACCTGCCTGACGGTGCTGTTAGCCTTTCTGATCATGTTGCAACTGAAGAGGGCAAATGTTCAAAGGAGAATGGCACAAGCTTTCCAAAACGTGGTAGTATATTATCTTCCTATTGGCTAAGAAATGCAAATCTACACATAGGAAGAACCTTTCCTTTATTTATTTTGGGGTTTAGGACCCACCTGACAGTACTCAGGGATTCAGGGATCACTTCTGATGGTGCTCAGGGGATCATTTAGGGATCAAACCTAGGGTTGGCAATGTGCAAAACAAGTTCTTTATTTGCGCTAAACCATCTCTCTGACTCCAGAATCTTCACTTTAAAGATGTGAACCAAGAGATTGACTTAAAAAGCATTCTTTTTTCTTTAGTCAAGTATCTTCTTTATTCTGACTTCCTTTATGAAATGAGAGATATATGTATAATTTCTTGTCTAAGCAGGAACACCTATAAGAATGAGGTTTTGTCTGAATAATTATGCAGGAAACCAAACCAAAATAACACTATTGCCACCAAAATGAAACATATGGTCATTCTAGGCATAATATACCAGATAGATTAATTTTCCAGTAAAAGGATTTGCACAATTGTTGGTACAGAACTACATGAGTACATATAGAACCCAATGTGATTGGTAATAATTTATTACAATAAATAAAATTTCCCCACATATTTCTATTTTCAGTTACCATTTCGTACCTTTAACATTGTTCTCCACTTTTTTATACATACCTCCTATATGTTTAAGAATAATATAGACAAAAAAAAGAATAATATAGACATATATGTATATGTACATACATATATGGAAAGTATCTTCGTAACAGAGTCACGATTCATGGAAGTTGGCATGCTTCATTCTATCATCAATTAATTCTGGCCAGGAACAACAGTTAATAAGATCCTTCTATTCCACTGGAATCTTTTTGGTACACCCCTCTGGTTTGTGGTTTTAGGATGTATAAAAATGACTTGTATTTAAAAATAATTTGATTCTACTATATAACATTAAGTACAATTAAATATTTCAAATAGAGCTTATTTTCATGTATTGAAGTACCCAAGGTTGTCCTCAAAAGATGGCAAGGGCTAATACCACAGCCCGTAGGGTGTTTGCCTTGCACACAGCTGACCTGGGTTCGATTCCCAGCATCCCATATGGTTCCCCGAGCACCGCCAGGAGTAATCCCTGAATGCAGAGCCAGGAGTAACCTCTGAGCATTGCCAGGTATGACCCAAAAAGCAAAAAACAAAACAAAAACAAAAAACAAAAGAAAACAAAATATGGCAAAAGGGGCTGTATTATCTGAGTCCATGAAAGAACCGGCTCAGTTCACTGGAACGGGAGGACCAGCAAGGAGGCAGGGAGTGCCTGGGGTCATCATAGGACCAGCATTTTGTTGTGATTTGTCAACAGCTACTTAAAACTCAAGGAGACAATGTGCGGGACTTGGAATAAGCCTCGGTCATCCTGGAGTAAGAGTCTATCCCAGAGCGGGCTTGAAAGATCTTAAGGTCTAGTACAAGTCAGAGAGAGTGAATGTGAGTCTAAGAATAGGCCAAATGACTTCAGGAAAGCATTCACTAAGGCAAGCCCTATGCCTGTCCTAGATAAATCTGCAATTTCCTTTGCAAACCAAAACCCAGCACCTGCTCATCCCATAGAAGAAAAGAAAGCCAATCGTGTCCATACCAGGGATGTGCCACACTGTGACACAGGTGCTGTTATCCCTGCTGCTTGCTCCTCCCTGCAGGCATTGCCAATCCATTATGTCCCACTTTCACCCTGAGGTTGAAATTGTACCCCTGCAGTTCTACGGCAGCCATTCATATCTGTTCTAGAATCAAAAACACACTTTCTCTTTTCACTGAGGAGAATTAGCCAGGAGGTGGTCTGCTGCTCTAAATGATGAAAACATAAAAATCATGAAAAAAAATCATTTTTCCAGAGGGAAGAACCAGCTGTGCAGTTCAACTCAGGAACTCTGGCCCTGAACAGGAAAGCCAAAAACAACCCGGATCCTACAATTTATCCAGTGCTTGACTGGAATGACATCAAATTTCAAGATGTGATTGGGGAGGGGAATTTTGGCCAGGTTCTTAAGGCACGCATCAAGAAGGATGGGTTACGGATGGATGCTGCCATCAAGAGGATGAAAGGTCAGTGTGTGGACAAATGGACAGTGCACGGACAGCATTTCTCTAGGGTGGGAAGAAAATTTGACTTCCTGTTGAATCTTTCCTCTCTGGTCTTACTTTTTTTTTTAGACAAAAAATTGGCATGCTGTCAGACAGGGCTGTTATGTGCAACTGAGGGTGATGTTTCCTGTGAGGCGGGGCCTGTGATTGGGTCAGGATGTAAATCTGAAGGCACAAGATAGTTAAATACTCTCTGACTCGATTCCTTGGGTTTTGTGGATACCAGTGTCATTCCCTGCTAACTTTGGAGCCAGCAATATTGCTTTTCTTGATGCAATGGTTCCAAAATTGAGTAGATAATCAGAATCCACTGGAAAGCAGACTAGTAGGGGCTGGAGAAATAGTACAGGAGGTATGGTGCTTGCCTTGCATGTAGCCAGTATTAGCTCAATCACCAGCACCGCATATGATCCTGCACAGCATGTCCAGGAATGATCCCTGATTATGGAGCCAGAAATATCCCCGGAGCATTGCTGCATATGGCCATTCTCAAAACCAAAGAAAGAAAAGTTTTCAAAACTCAGACTGTTGTGTCCCCTTTCTACAGTTTTGGATTCAGTAAGTTGGAGGCAAGGCTGGGAATTTGCATTTCCAGTTAGTTCCTAAGTGATACTTATGCTGAGGACTTGGAAACTGCACTTTATAACCACTGCTTTGTATTATCTGCTTCAAAAAATCCCTGAGAATGGGGCAGGAGTGATAGGACAGAGGGTAAGGCACTTGCCTTGCACTATGGCTGACTTGGGTTCAATCCCCATCACCTCAAATGGGTTCCCTGAGCCCACATGGTGTGATCACTGAGTCCAGAGCCAGGATTAACCTCTGAGCATCGCTGGTGTGAGGATGTGACCCAAAAACAAAATTAAACAATTCCTGGAGACACTATTATACAGGCATCTACTTGGGCTTCATTGTCCTCTTGCTTCAGTGTGTTTGGATTTCTGGGAGGGTCTCCTGAGGGTCTGGCTCTTAATCAAGCTTTCCCAGAGATTTCTACCTATGTTCATAATTGACAACTATTATCTCACAAATCACAAGAGCTAAAACTTTCCCCCATTGTCATCATTTAAAACTGCCTACTACCTGCCCATTTAATAAGATGATATAAGACATCTAAAAAAGCCGAGCACTCACTGGTATCGCTGTCACCTGCGTGAAGACATGTGGAGACTGCAGTTATGTTTTGTGTTTTGTTTTGACTGCACACTTGGAAAGTGGTGGGTTGAGCAAGGAATGGAATGGACTGCCATTGCTAGGTTCTCCCTAACAAAGTCTCTCCTAAATCAGTGGGGAGTTTCCCCCCCTCTTTTTGACTGTAACATTGACACTCTCATGGGACTTTATCTTGAATCTCTCAGGAACTCATCATTTCTTTCTGCATTAAAGCCATGTCAGAGAACAAATAAACACAGAATATTATCTATGCTTAGAGACAGTAATGTTTCAAAACACATGCACATGCAGGCATACACACACACACACACACACACACACACACACACACACACACTTGTTTAGCAGATGGAAAGTTCTTTTCTGTTTTGCTACTGTAGCCTCCAGGACTTTTGGAAAACAGTAAAGAGAGTGAGAGGCAAGAAGCAGTTTTTTCATTGGTATATAAAAATATACCTAAATCTGGTTGCAAACTTCATTTCCATAGAAATAGATACAAACAATAGCTTATCAGGGCCTAGGGCTGACCATTTTTTTTTAAAAGGCGATTTAAAAAATTTTAATTATTTAAATTCCTTTTACATGAGGGAATATATCAGAAAACTATGTGCATAAACATTTCTTTTTCTTCTTTTTTTTTGTTTTTGAATTTTTATTTATTTATTTATTTATTTACAGTTGTAGATTTACAATTTTTTTTTGTGCTTGGGTTTCAATTATACAATGATCAGATACCCTTCCCTCCACCAGTGCCCGTTTTTCACCACCATGGATAATATCCCTCCCACCCCCATCCCCCCATCCCCCCCTGCCTCTGTGGCAGGGCAATCCCCTGTGTTCTCTCTCTCCGTTTGGGTGTTGTGGTCTGCAAAAGGGGTATTGAGTGGCAAACATGTTCAGTCCATAGTCTACTTTCGACATGCATCTCCCCTCCTGGGAGGATCCTCCAAACATCCTTTATTTGGTGCTCCCTTCTCTATCTGAACTGCCCTTTCCTCTAGGATACCCGGCTGGCCTCTAAGTTATGGAGTAATCCTCCTGGTGCTGATCTCAGCTATTCTTGGGTATTAATCTCATACTTTGTTACTTTATATCCCCCAGATGAATGCAATCTTTCTATGTCTATCCCTCTCTTTCTGACTCATTTCGCTTAGCATGATACTTTCCATATTGTACCACTTGTATGTAAATTTCATGACTTCATCTTTTCTAACATCTACATAGTACTCCATTGTGTAGATGTACCAAAGTTTCTTTAACCAGTCATCTGTTCTTGGGCATTCAGGTTTCTTCCAGTTTCTGGCTATTGTAAAGAGTGCTGCAATGAACAAACAAGTGCAGATGTCACTTCGACTATACATTTTTGCCTCTCTGGGATATATTCCCAGGAGTGGTATTGCTGGGTCAAATGGGAGCTCAATTTCTAATTTTTTGAGAATTGTCCATACTGTTGTCCAGAAGGGCTGAACCAGTGGACATTCCCACCAACAGTGAAGGAGTGTCCCTTTCTCGCCACATCCACGCCAGCATTGGTTGCTTTTGTTCTTTTGAATGTGGGCCAGTCTCTGAGGTATGAGATGGTATCTCATTGTGGTTTTGATCTGCATCTCTCTGATGATTAATGATGTAGAGCATTTTCTCATGTGCTTTTTTGCCATTCGGATTTCTTCTTTGAGAAAGTTTCTGTTCATTTCATTGCCCCATTTTTGGATGGGGTTGGATGTTTTCTTCTTGTGGAGTTTAACCAGTATTTTGTATATCCTGGATATCAACCCCTTGTCAGATGTGTATTCGGCGAATATCCTTTCCCATTCTGTAGACTGTCTTTGTATTTTGGTCACTGTTTCTTTGGAGGTGCAGAAGCTTCTTAGTTTAAGATAGTCCCATTTATCTATCTCTGTTTTCACTTGCTCGGCCAGTGGCGTGGCATCTTTGAAGATACCATTAGCTTCAATGTCATGGAGGGTTTTGCCAACTTTGTCTTCAATGTACCTTATGGTTTCTGGTCTGATGTTGAGGTCTTTAATCCATTTTGATCTTACTTTTGTACATGGTGTTAGGCAGAGTTCTGAGCCTATTTTTTTGCATGTAGCCGTCCAATGATGCCAACATAATTTATTAAAGAGGCTTTCCTTACTCCACTTCACATTACTTGCACCTTTATCAAAGATTAGATGATCATATGATTGAGGGGAGATGTCAGTGTATTCAACCCTGTTCCATTGGGGGCTGACCATGTTTTTCTTTCTTTTTTAAAATTTTTTTATTAGTGAATCACCCTGAGGTACAGATACAGACCTACAAACTTCCGTGCTTGCGTTTCAGTCATGCAATGATCAAGTATCCATCCCTCCACCAGTGTCCATTCTCCATCACCAATGTTCCCAGCATCCCTCCCACCACCACCACCCCATCCCCATCCTCTGCCTCTGTGACAGGGCTTTATTTTTTGTTCTCTCTCTCTCCTTTTGGATATTGTGGTTTGCAATAGAGGTATTGAGTGGCCATCATGTTTGGTCTATAGTCTATTTCAGCACGCATCTCCCATCCCAAGCAGGTCCTCCAAAAGTGTTCCCTTCTGTATCTGAGCTGCCTTTCCCCCCAGCATGTGAGGTCAGCTTCCAAGCCATGGAGCAAACCTCCTGGTACTTGTCTCTACTATACCTGGGTGTTAGTCTCTCATTCTGTTACTTCATATTCCACAGATGAGTGCAATATTTCTATGTTTGTCCCTCTCTTTATGACTCATTTCACTTAACCTGATACTTTCCATGTTGATCCGCTTATAAGAAAATTTCATGGCTTCATCTTTTCTAATTGCTGTATAGTATTCCATTGTGTAGATGTACCAAAGTTTCTGTACCCAGTCATCTGTTCTTGGGTACTTGGGTTTTTTCCAGATTTTGACTATTGTAAACAGTGCAGTAATGAATAAAAAAGTGCAGCTGTCATTTCTACTATACTTTTTTGCATCTCTGGGATATATTTCCAGAAGTGGTATTGCTGGGTCAAATGGGAGCTCAATTTCTAATTTTTTGAAAGATATCCATACTGTTTTCCAAAAGGGCTAAAACAGTTGGCATTCCCACCAGCAGTGAAGGAGAATCCCTTTCTCCCCACATTAAAACTGACCATTTCTGCAGGGAGAGGAATGTCTGCAAAGAACAGCAGTTTCTGAGTAAAGGGAGGGCTTCATTTCTAAAGTCCCCCCACCACACTGGCCTGTGGATTCCTGCTATATGAACAAAGAACATAAGTTGGAATTGCCTGGTCTTCTGTCTTATGAATTCTCTTGATCAAAAAATAAAATTTCTGTGATTTCCAAATATTTATTTAGGCATACCCCTTTCCCACTTTTGCTTCTGATGTTATTTTTTCAAATATCACACTATCCCTGACTCATATCTGATGACTGGTTTACACATCTGCAGAAAAGCCTTCTCTTCTTCCCAGTGAGTGTCTGGTGTCTCCTCCTCTGACCAACCAAAGAGTAGAAACAAGTGTAATTCAGTTTTCAGACAACTCAGTGACTTCAACAAGAGGGTCACTGGGCCGTGCATTCTTATGGTTATTTTTGGGCCACACCAGCAGTGTTTAGAGCTTATTTGTGGCTCTTCACTCAATGATAACTTGCAATGGGGCTCAGAGTACCATATGGGGTGCTGGGAACCAAGCTCAGGTGAATTGTGTGCAAGGCAAATACCCTACCCACTGTCTCTCCAGCCCAGGATATAAGATTTTTAACAGCATTGGTTTGAGAGAAAGCAAGTTTGTACTGTTGAACAAAGCAAGATCTTTGCATTAGTGCTAGCATTTCATTGAAACGTGGGCTCTGTTCCTCAATACCTCTACCCAGTCATCTTCCTGGGTATTTGAGAGCCTAGACTGGAAAACTTTAGGGCAAGGATTTGCAACCAGGAGTGGTTTTGCACCCTGGAGACTCCTTGGCAATGTCTTGATTCAATTTTGGTTGAGTTTTTTTTCCTTTTGGAAAAAAAGGGTTCCTTCTGGCTCTGCACTCAGGAGTTAATCCTGGTGGTGTTCGGGGACCACATGGGATGCCGCGAATTGAGCCCAGGTTGGACACGTGCAAGGCAAAATCTTCCCTCTATACTATCACTCCAGCCCCAGGTTGAGTTATTTCTATCTAGTGGGTAGAGGTCAGAGACACTGCTAAATGCCTTACAGCCACAGAACAGCCCCCCAAAACTCAGAAGCGTTGGCTTTAGTTAGTGGAGTTGAACTCCCTGACTTAGAGGTGTTAATTTCTAAGTGCTCCAGACCTGAGCATAGCTGAATGAGCCTGAAAGCCACAGGAGCAAGAGAGGGCAGTTGTGTCTGGCCAGGGACAAGGACCACAACTCTTGCCCTCTTTCCCAGAATATGCCTCCAAAGATGACCACAGAGACTTCGCGGGAGAACTGGAGGTTCTGTGTAAACTGGGACATCACCCAAACATCATCAATCTCCTGGGAGCCTGTGAACACCGTGGTAAGAGGTTTTTTCCTGTTTCCCTGCCAGCGCCCACACCCCCCTTTGAAAAAGGCACATTCCATATTGAAATTAAGAGAGATCATAATCTCAGGAATGTGATCTATTTCTTTTCTCAAGTTGCATTTTCAACTTAATGCCTTTCAACTAGTTCCCTTCTTATTGCTGGACTTTGCATCTCTTTGGAGGTAGGTCCCAAGGCTGAGTCAGTTGGCTCATCCATTACTACAAGCATGTGCCCTGCTTGCCTGCATCCTTGCTGATGCAGAGACTTTCTCAGCTGCTACAAATAGGTGGGTCAAGGAGCCCTCAGCAGTAAGGACAACAAATACATTGGTTTTCCTTCATTTTCTATCTTTCCTATTTACCTCTGAGCTACAAAAACATCTTCTCAATGTTAAATCTCTGAATGTCAATAATCTACTATCATGCAAAAGTACTGATAAAGCTTAGGTTGGAATAAACACAAGAATCAGCTCTTATTCCATCATATTTTGTTCTTTTCCAAAACAATTTCCTGTACAGTTTCATAACTATGTTATGGAGCACATACTCCTAAAGCTCAACTTATATTATTAAATCAAATACTTAGTGAAACTTTCCTGTTGAAATATGTGCAAGTAACTGTCAATAAGAAGGTAACAGAAATCTCATGGGTTTGCATCTGCATGATGCCTAGGTTTTGTAGTTGAACCTTCGCTTATACTTACTCATGGAAAAGTTTGTACCCACAAAAAAATAAGATTAAAAAAAAAGCTCCGCAGAGTCATTATTTACAAACTTGACAGTGTCTTGTTGACTATGCGGCACAAAAACCAACAATAGAAAAGAGACGACTTCCTTTTCCTCAATTTATTTAACTAAAAACACTGGCACTTCAAATAATGTGTCATTCTATGATCTAATAAGGGTGTAAATCTGAAAGTCAGATCCTGTACCTTTGGTTAAATAATAAACTTACATCATTCATTTTTTTTTACTTATTTCCTGAAAACAGTTATCGGTATGCTAATAATAAATGAAACTTAAAATAACTACAACAGAAAAATAAATATCTTTTAAAATTCTGCTTTTCTGTCATGCTGTGTATTTGGCCCATAAAATTTGTCAGTTGTCAAAGAAGTGAGAGAGCACACCCAATCGTTTCAGCCTACTTTTCCTATTGTACAAAGGATTTGGTGCTAGAAGATATTTTGTTGCCAAATTTTCATTTCTTAGACTGTCCCTGAAGTTCAGAATTCATTTTTAACTTTAAAAATAATGAATTCAAAAACTTACTTTAAAACAGTGAAACCTTTATGTATTTCACTGGCTCCAGAGATCACTGTTTTTAATCAAGGTAGTTTATTTATTTATTATTTATTTATTTGCATCCCACCCAGCAATGCACAGGGCTTACCCCTGGTTCTGCACTCAGGAATTATTCCTGGTGGTGCTTGGGGGACCATATGGGTTGCTGGGAATCAAACTCAGGTTGTCCACCTGCAAAGCAAATGCCCTACCTGCTGTGCTATCATTTCCAGCCCCACAGTTTAAGTATATTTAAGAAAAAGAATTACTATTAAAATAAGACAGGGAACCATATTTTTTCCCCCAAAGAAGGCTTCTATCTTTTTCCTAAAAGTCTGGCTTTTCTAGTTCATGGAAGCAAACCACTAACTTTGACACCTAATTGCTAACCAGTCGCCTTGCCAGCTGTTTGCTTCATGAGGACCCACAGTGCTTTAGGGATGCATAGAAAGCAGAAGAGAAAGTCATATCTTGGGGTCCTTCCCTCAAGGATAGTCATTGCTCTTGTTTTGTTTTGAATCACCTTAAGAGAAGTGAAGAGACAGGCTAGGATGTCATGCCTGACTCATACCAGGTTCTCAGTGATTACTGAAGTGAGCATACATGGCAAAGTACACACGATGCCTCAAACCCTCTGGACAAGCATTTTAATTTTGTTCTATTGTCACCAAGGAGGTGGGTGACACTCTTCAAGAAGTCCTCCTTGTTGGGCCATATCAACTAGGGTGGGGAACACAGGGGAAAGAAAGGAACCCTGAATCCATGCGCAGTACAGGAGGAAGACATCACTTACCTTCTTCTCGAGCCCTCCATGGTAATGAGGTGGGTACCCCAGAAGGAACCCTTCAAGGTTGGCTGGTCTCGAGAAGCAGGCCCCATCTCGATATTTCCTGCTGGTTAGTGCCTCTGCTTCAGGGGCTGCTTGCTCCCTCTCTCTGCAGGCTACTTGTACCTGGCCATCGAGTACGCCCCCCACGGCAACCTCCTGGACTTCCTGCGCAAGAGCCGCGTGTTGGAGACCGACCCAGCCTTCGCCATAGCCAACAGCACCGCCTCCACGCTGTCCTCCCAGCAGTTGCTCCATTTCGCAGCGGATGTGGCCCGTGGCATGGACTATTTGAGCCAAAAACAGGTTCGTTAGGAGAATCCTGCTCTGGACGTCTTTCACTCTGGAAATCTCTTTAGGATCAGAGGCTAGATCACTGTGTACATTTTTTTGCCCAGACACCCTCCCTTTTAGACATTTTTACAATCTACCTTGAATCTCAATGCTATCTATTGTTGTTTGGCCTGGGTTTGAGTGCTCAGGGCTTCTTCCTAGCTCTGTGTTCAGGGATCTCTCCTGGAAGGGCTCAGGGAACCATATGTGGTACTGCGGATCCAAATCTAGGTTAAGACATGTATGAGGCAGGGCAGGAGCGCTAGCACAGTGGGTAGGGCATTTGCCTTGCATGCAGCAGCCCCTGTTCAATCCCTGGCATCTCATATGATCCCCTGAGCACCGCCAGGAGTAATTCCTTAGTGCAGAGCCAGGAGTAACTCCTGAGCATCACCAGGTGTGATCCAAAAGGCAAAAAAAATAAAAGACATGTGTAAGGCAAATCCCCTATCTTCTGTACTGTTTCTCTGGCCCTAATACACCATTCAATTATAAGAAAATTAATTCCCAATACTGACAGTACCTTTATCTACTGAATTTTGTGAACATTTGAGGTTTCTGAGCCATTAGCTTCATTGGCTCCAAAAAATGTCCAACAACAGACACTTTGCATTGCAACTGAAGAATTGAATAACCAAGGCCTTTTCTTGAAAAGCTTCTGTCAGACATGCTGGTCATTTGACAGATTTCACTAACAGTTCTGACCCCTGATGGCTTTGTGCTAACAATATGAAGTAGAAAAGTAAATATTATCCTGACCATACATGATGGTTTTTAAATGTTCAGTTTATTCACAGGGATCTGGCAGCCAGGAATATTTTAGTCGGTGAAAACTATGTAGCCAAAATAGCAGATTTTGGACTGTCCCGAGGCCAAGAAGTGTATGTGAAAAAGACTATGGTAAGTTCATCATCAACACTGAGGACATCCAATGGTGCCTTCGGAATAGCATTGTTCTGTGGCATCTGATGATTGTGGTCCCCAGTAGATAGTGTCTTGATTCAGCAACTAGAAGAACAGGAGGGGACATAGGGATAGTGGAGGAGGGATAATTGGCACATTAATTGTAGGTGGGGTAGGAATACTATATTTGTAAAGTAACACTATTATAAACTATTTCCTCAATTTAGAAATTGGGGGGATGTGGTTCAGCAGGAGAGCACCTGCCTCAGATAGATGAGGTCCTAGGTTCCACGCTTAGCACTGCTACACAAACAAATAACATAGAGCCCCTTTGGCTCCTAAGATGCCACATTGCCTGATGCTGAATGTTTATCAGCAAGGCACTCTCAGAAGCAAAGATACCCCCTAGAGGAATAATTTCTAAGCTATACATTTTTCCTCCTATAGCTTTTGGTAATTGAACCCACTCTCTGGGTTAGAGACTGAACTAGTTAAAGAAATAAGATCCACCACTCACCTGTCTGCTCTGCTTCTCCTGCTCTTCAAGGGCACAGACAGGACTTCTACTGCCTCCCATCCTCACAGCAGCATTTGAGAGAAATGGTTTAAAAGGGATGCTTCAAGGGGAAGAGCACTAATAAAGGATCAACTCTATTTTCCAAGGCAGGATCAAATGTTCAAGGGGCAGCTTGTGACAAGGGAGGAAAATGGCTGGATGAGAAAAGGGAGAAGAAAGACAGGATCCTAGTATTTGAAGCACCCTGAAAGAAGTGTGCAGTGTGTCAGTACACCACCAGAGGGCAGAGTGGCTACCTTCTATGACAGTTGTTTATTATTGTTGTTTTGTTTTTTTTAAAATTAAATTCCTTCTATTGAATCACCGTGAGACCTATTTTTTTTAATTGGAGATTTTCAACTTTGCACTGTTGAATAATCATGGGAGCTTTGGAAAAATACAGAAGTTGAGTCCTGCCGCTTAGATACCCTGATTTAATTGTTCTGGAGTGAATACAATCCTTTTTTTTTTTTTTTTTTTTAAATTTTTGAAGTCTGCAAAAATTTTAATACTGCAGATGTTACAAACTAAAGTGATTAAAAATTTAAAGATTTAAAGTTTTACTATTGTTAATACATAATCTGCTTGTCCCTGATTTATTTATTGTTTGTGCTAAATCCTGGGATAATATTAGTCACAATTTCCATCTTCAAAGAGCTCACAAATAGGATACATAATGAACACTCATAACATTTGTCAAGTTCTTTAAAAACAAAACAAAAACAAACAGTAAGTACTAAGGGCACAAGAAGCAAAGATGCTATGGGAACACAGAGAAGTATATTGATCCTTGCCTGTGATTAGTCTTAGACAGACTCCTGGAGGAGGTTCACAACTAATTTTATTTTATCTTATTTTTATTTTTTAATAGAAATGGATAAATATTGGTCAGAGGATACAATGATGTGATTTTATGGGACAAATGATTAATATACAATATGTTATTAAAGTTAATTATACTATACCAAAGGTAAGGTAAGGTAAAGGCCCTCCCGTTGATCGTCGATTTGCTCGAGCGGGCCCAGTAACGTCTCCATTGGAGACTTTGTTGTTACTGTGTCTGGCATATCGAATACTCTCAGTAGCTTGCCGGGCTCTCCGAGAGGGGCGGAGGAATCGAACTCGGGTTGGCCATGTTGGCCGCTTGTAAGGCGAACGCCCTACCCGCTGTGCTATCGCATACTATACCAAAATTAAATTTAAATAAGTTTTAGATTTTCTTATCACATATTACCTATGCACAAATAGTTACTATGTGAGGATAAATTGTGCTAATCAGTTTCACAGTATTTACCTATGCATATATATATGATATGGCCGACCCGAGTTCGATTCCTCCGCCCCTCTCGGAGAGCCCGGCAAGCTACCGAGAGTATCTCGCCCGCACAGCAGAGCCTGGCAAGCTCCCCGTGACGTATTCGATATGCCAAACACAGTAACAACAAAATCTCCAATGGAGACGTTACTGGGCCCGTTCGAGCAAATCGATGATCAACGGGAGGGCCTTTACTTACTTACTTTACTTATATATGATATAACCTGTTTGATCTCATAAATATATCAGAAATTTTAAAAGAAGTGTTTGCACTTGAGAATTTTTATTTATCTATTTATTAGTGAATCACCATGAGGTACTGTTACAGACTTACAAACCTTCATGTTTGCATTTCAGTCATACAATGATCGGTTACCCATCCCTCCACCAGTGCCCATTCTCCATCACCAATGATCTCAGTATCCCTCCCACTCCCCTAAACCTCCCCTCCCCACCCCACCTCTGTGGCAGGGCATTCCCTTTTGTTCTCTTTCTTCTTTTGGATATTGTGGTTTGCAATAGAGGTATTGAGTGGCCATCATGTTCGGTCTATAGTCTATTTTTCGCAGCTCCCAACCTGAATGGGTCCTCCCAGCACCCTTTACTTGGTGTTTCCTTCTCTGTCTGAGCTACCTTTTCCTCCAGCAAGTCATCACCAATTTTACAGTATATACTATTGGAGATGTAAGACTTATTCAGATGATTTGGAGGGTGCAATAAATAGAGCCTAACAGAAAAGGGAAGTGCAAAACCTTAGGGAATTAAGTGATTCAATGTGCCTGCAATGTAATGCATAAAAGAGGGCAAGTAAAAATTCAGTTGGTGGGACCAGAGCGATAGTATGGTAAATAAGGTATGTGCCTTGCACGCAAACAACCCAAGTTCGATCTCAGGCACCACATATGGTTCCCCTGAGAACCATCAGGAGTCATCCTGAGAACAAAGTCAAGAGTAAGCCTTGAGCACTGCTGGTGTGTCCCCTAAACAAAATCAAACAAAATTCAGGATTGGAAAGGGAAATGGGTGTGAGAGCTTTGTGAAAATTCCAGCTCAGGATGTATTCCAGCTAAGCATCTGAAAATGTAAAGATAATAGGGGCATTAAAGAATATTAAAACAAGGAAACACACAGTTGAATTTGCTGTGTAGAGTTATTTGTTGTGTTGAGAACAGGTTGTTGGGTAGTCAAACTAGACCAGGAGAGGAGAGCAGAGCCTGTGGCTATCAGCAGGAGATGATAGAGCCCCGAGTTCAAGGTGACAACAGAGGGAACAGAAGTGAATAGATACCAAAATGTCAGCTAAGAGGAAAATGAGAAAGTAAGCACAGAAATCGATAATTAAGAGAGATTAAGTGGTAGGCTAGTAGAGCATGCATAAAGGATGGCAAACACAGCACAGAACATGTAGACAATTCCTTCAATTCCTTAGAGGTGATGGGGCAGAGAGATCTAACATCAGTGGAAACTGGGGATGTGGGAGACGGGGATTGGGTTAACGAGAGTGAAGGGAGGGTGTGTGTGTGTGTGTGTGTGTGTGTGTGTGTGTGTGTGTGTGTGTGTGTGTGGAGAAAAGTGAAGATGTCAAAGTAAGAAAGGACACTTTGGTATTTAAACTTCCAAGTACAAACCTCACTTTAGATGTACGGTCAGGAAAGAGGTACAGACAGCACCCATCACTGAGGGCTATAAAATGCTCACACTTGTCCATTATCCTTGTGACCCAGAGCACAGCTGTTCTTGTGGAAGGGAGGACTGGCTTCAGAGGAGCTGAAAAAGTGCCCCTAAGTACATATGTCTTTGCCTCATCCATTCATTAGCTTCTGTGGGCTAAAATGCCATGATTGAGGGTTTGGGGCAGGAAGATGAATCTCCCATGATCCAACAAGGTTCCTGTGTCCTCTACTGCAGAGCAAATGCAAGGGGACCTGGATCATTGCAGATTTGAGGAAACTAGGGCAGTAATCCAAATTTCTCAATGTTGAGTCCCCATTTCCTTTTTCCTAGTCTGGACTCAGTAAGCCAAGAATATGGGGATATCCTGGAGGGAATCAGGTCAAGGTACCCAAATTGTCATCGATCCTATCTCTGAACCCAGTGAAAACTCATGGGCCAGGAGCAACTTTTCCTTCTGCTCACATACATGCACATGGCTCTGCTCACCTGAGATGATCATTCCTTCCACATGCACTTGATAACTGCACATCTTAGAGGACCTTGTGCAAACATCCCCTACCTGGAAATTTCACCTTTCTCCTCCAGACATAGCTTGTGCTTGCATATAACCTTGGCTTTTTCTACATCACACATTTTGTAGTTCTTCTTACACAAAAATTCTGTGGGGTCACCTGGAGGTAACTGGAACCTACCCAATTGACATGTCTTAGAGTTGAAAAAACACATATGGGAGGGGCATATACAGAACAATTTCATTTTGGTCATTCTTTGTGAAATCCCCATAGACCTTGAAGGAACCCCAACTACAAGCAACTGGTGAACCTGGTGAATGGTCCTATCTAACCTAACTGACACTGACCTCTTACCTATCCCCTCCAGGGTCGGCTCCCAGTGCGCTGGATGGCCATCGAGTCACTGAATTACAGTGTCTATACAACCAACAGTGATGTGTGAGTAGCTTCTTCTTAATGACCTACTGTTTTCCTCCAGAAAAATAAATATTTGACAGGGGTTTTAAAGGGAAGCTTGAATGTGTCGGTCTTCTGTGGAAGAAAGTGAATCCCTAAGCCCATGAAGTGAGTTCGTAGAATGAATGAAGTATTGGTGCGGACAAATTTGGGGTGTAAAACATTGAAGGCAGACTTTGGGGACCATCTCTGCATATGGTCTCAGTGACAAACCCACGTAACGGTGGGATCGAGGGATAGTTCCACTATCCTGCCCCATTCCCCCTATTTTAAGAAGAAAACAGTGAGATACAAAGGGATGAAGCACCACTCCTAGGACCTTATCCATCACAATTCCTGCATCTAAACAGTGTGCCTTTTGTGCTCACACTCACATCATCTCTGCATAACTTTTAGGAAGAAGTGAACCCTCCCACCTTTAAAAGTGTACACTAAGATGTTGGGCAAGTCATTCAGCCACATGCTAAGTGCCAGACACAGGCTTTATCATAGGTCTGCAGCTTAAAATTTCATCTGCTTTCCACAATATCACCTCATACTGTGCCAAAAGTGAGTGTGGGATTTATGTCAGTTGTTTATTATAATCCTCCCATGGGTCTAAAAGATCAGAGAGTGCTGTGTGCATGGACCTGACCTCAGAACCATAGTCTAACCAGAAGTCAGTTCCCTTCTGGCAAAGAGCCAGTCACCCTGGCTTTGGGAGCAGAAAATAGGTCACTCTTTTTAGTTGGTTACTGGTTTCACCGTTGTCCCTTGTTTCAGGTGGTCTTATGGAGTGTTACTGTGGGAGATTGTCAGCTTAGGTGAGTATGTACATCTACCAGGTCAGACCCCTGGCACAGGGGATGCCCACCCTCCAACCTTCCTTACTGTAATCTGTGGATGCAATAGGTGGGACAGAGAACCTTCTTATTTATTTCCTTTTAAAAGTCTCATAGGTGAATGTTATACTAACAAATCAGTAGTTATGAACTTTATAATAGTTATTTTCTTCTTCTGCAAAGATGTAATAGGATTATGTCAATTTTCCCCTCCCCTTTAAGATGGCATAATATGGAGCCATATTTTTGAAGTCATTTAATAGCATGTGCAAATGTGCATACCCAAATCCCAAATTTCACATATGCCATGATCCCACGTTAAAAACCCTGCCTGCTAAAAAATAATGGCTGGGAGACTTATCCAGGCAGGATGACTCTTCATGCTTTTTAAAAAATAATTTCCAGGGGCTGAAGCAATAGCACAGCAGGTAGGGCATTTGCCTTGCACGTGGCCGACCCGGGTTCAATTCCCAGCATCCCATATTGGTCCCCTGAGACCGCCAGGAGTGATTCCTGAGTGCAGAGCCAAGAGTAACCCCTAAGCATCACCGGGTGTGACCCAAAAAGCAAAAAATATATACATATATATTTCCATGGTTTTTAATGATTTCTTTAAAATAATGTTTTCATGATTTTTTAGAATAATTTTCACATTTCCTGCAAAAGCTCCTATAATTAAAATTGTGAACTAAATATTAGAAATACAAAAGGAATTGCATAATAGAACAATAGACTCCAGTTAGGGAAATGGTGTGTTTCAGTGACCCAAAAGATAAGTTGGGATGAGGTAGGTTAGGGATGAGGAGCAGCTTTCACTAAGGAGCCTGGTGGTGGCTCTTTCCTCTGAAGCACTGACCACTCTCCAGTGTGGTCATAAGGGTCAGCCCAATTTTGCTATACAGGGGATTTGCACAAACATCAAATCACACTGCTGCTCACTCACACTCTGCATGTCCTGGCCCTCCCCTAGGATCTTGCTTGAGGGGCTGGGGGTAGAGTGACCGCCTGCTGCAGCAGCGGCAGCTCACATACGCACTGTGTCCACCGTGTCCTGTCTTCCAGGTGGCACCCCCTACTGCGGAATGACATGTGCAGAACTCTATGAGAAGCTGCCCCAGGGCTACAGGCTGGAGAAGCCCCTAAACTGCGATGATGAGGTGTAAGTCAGGTCTCACACTGGAGGCTGTTTTATTTTAGCTTTCCTCCTGCATGTTCTTTGGGAAACTGAGTAATAAGGGAGTTATCTGTTAAATACACAGTGAGGTGTAGCTCTATGGCACATGCACACGCTCTGGAGACCCCAGAGAGCCTCTGTAACAGGGTCATTCTCTAAACTGTGAGGCAGTGTGCAGGATTCCCACACATAAGAATCTAGGAAGTCAGGAACAAGATGAGAGTGAGAGAGAGAAAGAGAGAGAGAGAGAGAGAGAGAGAGAGAGAGAGAGAGAGAGAGAGAGGAAACACAGGTGGTTAAGCAATTTACTTTGCATATATCTGACCTCTGTTTGGTCTCCAGTACTGCATATGGTCCTGAGCCAGGATATGAATGGAATGTTTGATGTGAAACCATATATATGTGTGTGTATATATGTATATATATGTATATATATGTGTATATATATATACAACATATACTATATGGGCCGGAGAAATATCACAGCTGGTAAGGCGTTTGCCTTGGACACAACCCACCCAGATTCGATTCCTCCACCCCTCTTGGAGAGCTCGGCAAGCTACCGTGAGTATCTTGCCCACATGGCAAATCCTGGCGAGCTCCCTGTGATGTATTCGATATGCCAAAAACAGTAACAGCAAGTCTCACAATTTGCTGTGAGACGTTACTGGTGCCCATTCTAGCAAATCGATGAACAATGGGAGGACACTGCTTATACAGTGCTTATATACTATATATAAATCACATATATATTTATATACCATGTATATACCACATATAAACTATATGTTTATATACCATATAAACCACATATATAAACCATATGTATATATGTATGGAAGTACAGGTGGAGAGCTCTTTGAAATTGACTTTTTGATGTCTTTGTGAATTCAATACCAATCCAACAGCAAGGGAAACAAAAGCAGAAATAAATAAATGGGACTATGTAAAATTAAAGGGCTTCTCTCTATAACGTTATTAACCATAATTCCAATGAAAGACAACATTACTGAATTGGAGAATATATTTGCAAATCATACATATCAGAAGTTAATCACTGTCACTGTCACTATCTTCCCGTTGTTCATCGATTTGCTCGAGCGGGCCCAGTAACGTCTCCATTGGAGACTTTGTTGTTACTGTGTTTGACATAACGAATACATCACGGGTAGCTTACTAGGCTCTGCCGTGTGGGCAAGATACTCTCGGTAGCTTGCTGGGCTCTCCGAGAGGGGTGGAGGAATCGAACTCGGGTCAGCCATTTTGGCTGCATGCAAGGCTACCGCCATGCTATCGCTCCAGTCCATCAGAAGTTAATATTAAAAGGTAAAGGTAAAGGCCCTCCCGTTGTTCGTCGATTTGCTCGAGCGGGCCCAGTAATGTCTCCATTGGAGACTTTGTTGTTACTGTGTTTGGCATATCAAGTACGTCACGGGGAGCTTGCCAGGCTCTGCCGTGCAGGCGAGATACTCTCGGTAGCTTACTGGGCTCTCTGAGAGGGGCGCAGGAATCGAACTCGGGTCAGCCATGTTGGCTGCATGCAAGGCAAACGCCCTACCGCTGTGCTATATTAATAACTCATTCAAATCTAATTAAAAGTTGGCAAGGATCTGAATAGCTGCTTCCTTTGGATCAATAAAATGTAGAGAGAAAAATCATAGAAAGAGGCTTAGCACTTACAAGTTATTAGAAAAATACGAATCAAAATCACAGATATATCTCATGTGTTAGAGTGGTTATTATAAAATATATAAGCAAACAACAAGTTCTGGAAAAGATGTGGACAGAAGAGAGCTTTTGTACATAGTTGGTGGGAAGGTAGGTATGCCATTAGGGACAATAGTAAAGAGATTTTTCAAATAAATTAGAACTACCATATGATACAGCCATTATATTTCTGGTTGTTTATCTAAAGGACACAAAAACACTAAAAAAATCTGAAATATATATATGCATCCTGTGCTCATCACACATTACTTAAAATGCCAAGATATGTAAACAATCTAAATGCTTACATGCAGAATGAACACAATGAAATGTATATGATATATACTTGACTAATAGCTGAGTAACTATTACAAATGTGAAATTTTTCATTTGCTTCTTGTATGACCTTGAGGGTGTTACACTAAGCAAAAGCATTCATACAAAAATATAAATACTATATTTTCACTGTGAAATATAAAGAAACAAAATGAACAAACAGAACGAGAATAAACTATCAGATACAGAAATTTTTTTCTAATCTGACTGATTAGACTGGTGATTAGGGGAAGGGGAGTTAGATGGGTAAGAGGGATTTATTTCACTGTGGAGAATGGAACTTGTTGCATGGTGAGCATCATAATATAATATATGCAGAGATCAAGTTATAATGTTGTATACCTAAGGGTTATATCATGTTGAATCAATGGTACTTGACACAAACATATTTTAAAATCTGCTTAAGTATTTTTTGTTAGCTTATGTTAGTGGATATAATACTTCTATTAGTTTCTCTCCCAAAAAGATGCTGTAGGTGAAATTTTATAAATGTGAGCCTGAATTCATTTATTACCCCAATGAAACACTGCTATTTTAGAAGATATAGTTTTTCATGGGAAATTATATCCTTGAAATTCAATTCAGTAATTTCTGGATTATCAAAGTATGTGAGAACAAGATTATGTAGAATTGTAGCCAGGATAGGTATCAGTTATGCTGGGAAAAGAAAGGACCATGGAGAGAGGTGGCAGGTTTCTGAGGTATCCTATTTTCATCTTCTGCTGGCTGAGATTAATGATGTGTTGAATAGCTAGATTATTTTCTCTTTCTTTCCCATTCGCTATACTGATCATTCTCAGGACTAAAAACCAGACTGTCATACAAATTAACTCCTTACTCTTTGTTTCCAAAGGTATGATTTAATGAGACAATGCTGGCGGGAGAAGCCATATGAAAGACCCTCATTTGCCCAAATACTGGTGTCCTTAAACAGGATGCTAGAAGAACGAAAGGTGAGTATGGCTCTCAGAGCAGGGCCTCCTTAATTTGAAACATCATGTGCCTGGTGTGGTTAATTAAAAAACTTTGATATAGTCACTGTCTCTGAGTATGATGGGTATTATAGGGGCATAAAAGATGCAGCCCCAGCTTTGAAGGAGTTGTGTAAGACTTCTATAAATATATACTTACATATGGTAGAACAATATCTCATAGCCTACCTGAGTTAGAGTCTCATTAGTCATACCTCGTACTTTGATAGATGAAGTAACACTTAGGTAGGAGTGACCAAGAACAAGTAGTAAGTATGATTTAGTAATCATCAGAGCCTAAGTGTTAAGTTTTTAGGGGGAGGGACAGGAATTCTATGAAAATTTCTAGAAGGTAAGTTGTCTATATGATTCTGGAGTATGAAATCACAAATCAAGGTTAGGAAACTCAATTTTGAAGGTAATCAAAACCCAAGTGTTAATCAAACCATAGGAGTGTGCACTCACTTGGGGTGGGGGTAGAGGGTGCCCTTAGGGAACCTCAGGAAAAGCAGTGAGACACCTTGAGAAAAAGAAACTCTGAGACTGAGGAAAGAGAGAGCATGTGCTCTCACTTGCAGAAGTTGAGATGCATTTCAGGGAGAAAAGTCACCAAGAACAACAGCGAAATGAAAGACAAAACAATCTACTGCAAGTACTGAGTATTGATCTGATCAACCTAAGGAAGTCAGTTGCTGCACCTACCCTACCAGAGGCAGTACCGAGGAATCCAGTGTCTCTGATCCATTCTTGTTCTTCCAGACCTACGTGAACACCACCCTCTATGAGAAATTTACCTACGCAGGAATCGACTGCTCTGCTGAAGAAGCAGCTTAGCACAGCTCGTCTTCATCCATGTGCTGTTTCCCCTTAACCAGCAGAGAGAACATTCATCCATGGACGCCAAGCAAACAACCAAGACTCTTCCAGGAGATGTGACATAGATTTGTAAATATATTTCTGTATGTCTGGGACCTTCACCACGAACCCCCGAGAGTGGGTTTAGAGCACACTCTGGCTCTCATCGGACTGTACATACTGTTTTGAGTAAGAATGTGCTGACTCAGAAGTGCCTGTTCGGTTTCATATGCAATAATATATTTTTTTCTAAAAAATGTGGACTTCATAGGAAGGTGTGAGAGTACAATTACTGTAATGCATAATTCATTATTCTAGATATTTTTGTATTCACCTTTATATTAGGTTATATAAAATGTTTTGTTGTGTAGAAGTAAAATATTGTTAATAAACCTAACAATACACTGACACCACATGTGAAGAAAATGGATCATTTCTAACAGAATATAGATCACATGTGAGAGACTGAAAATTTCAAGTGATGGTGAAAGCTTTGTTTCCCCTTGCCTGAGGGAAATGCCTTTGCCGTGTGTTTCTAGAGCCCACAGTCAGTTCAGAATTCATCTAGAAAAAGAATTAAATTTCATTCCTCGGAAGCCTAGGAATCTTTAGAAAACTAAAAACAAGTTTAATTGAAAACTTTATGGAATTTAGTTTCTCTGCTATTTTTAAGAAATAAAAATAGAGGTTTGGAGTTATATTTAGGAGACATGTGGCATTTGTTTTATATTGTTTTGTTTTGGGGCCACACCTCGTGATGCTCAGGGGTTACTTCTGGCTCTGAACTCAGGAATCACTTTTAGCAGTGCTCAGTCAACACTATGTGATACTGGGGATCAAACTCCAGTTGGCTGCATGCGAGGCAAGTGGCTTACCCATTATACTATCTCCAGCCTAACATCTGACATTTGTGATATCAGATTAACATCCTTACGTGTATTGCATAGTATCAAAATTTTAATTTTGATTAATTGTGAGATTATCATTTATACTAAAAGCAGATGTTGCAGTGAGATAATTTAGTAAATGAATAAATATTTTGTCCTCTCACTTTTTGTTCAGAAGTATTTTTATAGGGTTGGTCAAATATCTTTATTCAACTTTATTGTTTTGGGTTTTTTGTGGGGGGCAACTTTTGTTTTGGGCAACATGACATACTCCTGGTTCTGCTCTCAGGGATCACTCTTGGAAGGTTTGGGGAACCGCATGGGGTGTCAGAGATTGAATCCAGGTCAACTGCATGCAAGACAAGCATTCTACCTGCTGTATCATGGCTCCTGTCCCTATTACACTTTAAATAGAAAATTCTTCAATTATCCATTTTTAGCTATCTCTATCATGTATATAGGCCAGTTCATGAGTGCATGTCACCTGATATGGTGCTTTTAAGTTCACAAAATAGAAAACAAAGGGTCCGAGACATAACTCAGAGGGCTAGAACATATGCACTGCATGCAGGAGGTCTGGGTTTGATTCCCAACGCATCTGGTTCCCTGAGTACCTCCAAGTGTCACCCCCAAACAAAAACAGAACAGAAATAAAATAGGAAACATCTAAAAGTATTTTTCTGCCCACCTGTTCTCTCATAAAGGAAATGACTTTTTTTGTGGTGCTCACATTTGAACCAAAGATTTCGAATTGAAATTCTTCTTAGTCATTACATGCTGAGTTGAGTTCTACATACCATGTAACAATCCATATTCCTGCTATCCAATCAACATACCCCAGGTTTACCATGGCAGCAAACCTAGGGTATATTTACTGAAGGCATAAAAGTATTCTTTCAGAAGGCCAGTAAGGCACAGAGACCATTGTATTAATTACTCTGGGACTCATCTATACTATTAGCAAAGACACAGCAGTAGGGCGTTTGCTTTGCATGCAGCCAACATGGTCAACCCGAGTTCGATTCCTCCGCCCCTCTCGGAGAGCCCGGCAAGCTACTGAGAGTATCTCGCCCACACGGCAGAGCCTGGCAAGCCACCCGTGATGTATTCGATATGCTAAACACAGTAACAACAAAATCTCCCAATGGAGACGTTACTGGGTCCGCTCGAGCAAATCGTAGCAACTTAATGCATTAATATTGAAAATCAAAGGACTTTTCTTAAAAGTAAATAATCAAATGAATAAAGCTATGTAATCCCCACAGGACAATCACATTATCAAATAGCAAGTAAGAACTAACCTCTTAAAGAGATAAATCAGGTATATTGGGAATATAGATTAGAATTTATCATGTTTATTCGATTCACAATAAGTCGCCTTAAAATTAGTGTATTATTTATAAATTAAAATAAAATAACAGAATAAAAATACACTACACAGAAACCAAACAACCAAAATCCAGAAATAAAACCTGAGCACAGCTAAGTGTGACCCAAAACAAAATAAAAAAGTTAGATCGCATATCTTTCTCAACATTAGGGGAAAAAATTTTTAAATATGATACCATTTTATGAATATTGATTGTCTGACTTTGGCATTTAAACTAAGACATCATTTATAATTCTCATTAAAAAATAGACTTTGTTTTTGATAAATTTCATTTAGCTTTTTTTTTTTTTGGTTTTGGGGCCATACCTGGTGATGGGGTTTATTCCTGGCTCTGCACTCAGGAATCACTCCTGGTAGCAGTCAGGGGACCATCTAGGATGCCAGCTATCAAACCTAGGTCAGCTGCATACAAGGCAAGCACCTCACCCACTGTACTTTCTGACCCCAAATTTCATTTAGTTTTTAATATCATATGATCTCGTAATCTCCTATCTAGTAATCTTCTTTTGTTTAAAGGAATACAGTCTTCCTAGTATTCCATACTTCTGGGTTCTTGACAGATTTCTGTTGTTTAGGGATACCTGACTTTTTATGGTATGACTCTTTATGGTAATACCTCCCTGAAGAAGAGGTACATGAAGGAGGAGGTACCAATGTGCCATCCACTTAAGTCATAGTGAGTCTGGGAACACAGTACATAAAAGAGGTAGGTATCATCTTTATGTCAAACATTTAGAAAGCTACCATTGTGGTTGTTATGGTTATTAAACTAAGTATGCGAGTGGCCATTGTTAATTCTGTTATTCTGTTATAACATAAACTTGGAGGTTTTCTTTGAGACTATCTGTCGGTAACATCTAATGTGTTGTTTCCTGCTCTAAGATTACAAGCAAGTAAGACTACAATGACCTGTTTGAAACTGGTCTTCTGGAAGGTAAAGAAAAATCTGAAAATAAAGAAGTAACCCCTTCACTCAAGAATCTTCAATCTCTGCCTTGTTATTTTTGACTTCTCCATCCTACACTGCTGCCAGTAGAGTTTGGTCAATGATGGCATGAGGTTTCCTGACAGTCTGAAAGAGGAGGAGGAAATAGTCTACTGAAGTTTATTGACCATGTTTTGTTTATTTATTTGTATTTGAGCAACATCCCATTCTTCCCTGAAGAATTGTAACATAGAAAAAATTAAATATATAAAGGAAACTTGCTCCATGAAAATATTGTTGAAAAATACAATCATGTATTGCTTTATGTGATTGAAATATGATGCTAATTATATTATTTCTTGGAAATCTCCATGACATTAGCTTAACTAGAATTGATATTACCAATATGAACTTAAAAGAATGTATTTGTTAAAATTAGGTAAAATTCCATTTTATGATTAGGTTATTTAAAAATGTTTTCCCTCAAACCTCCTGAAACTTTTCTTTGAATCTGAGAAACTGGAAAATTTGTACAAATGTGTTTTTCTTCTATTCTGAAGTGGAAGTAACAAAATCCTGCCTACTCTCTTTTGTTTGTTTGTTTGGTTTTGGGGTCACACCCATCTGTGCACAGGGAACATTACTGGCAGGCTCTGGGGACCAACTGTGGTACTGGGGATCAAACCCAGGTCATCTGTGTGCAAAGTAAGTGCCGTACCTACTTCAGTATTTCTCTGACCTCAGCCTGCCTACTGTTATTGTTGGCCTTTATCAAAATTACTTGATGGTGAGCCCAAAATATCCCATTATAACTAACCAGAGTTAGTACTGGTTCCCTGAATGGACAAATGATCTCTGTACAGGCTGGAATACAGAGGACACCAACATGAGATAAAGAAAAATGATCAAAACTTTGGCAATATTGATTATTTTCCTTTTCTTTCTTTACAAAGGGTCTTTATAATTAATTACATTTATAGTTCAACAAGTGATCTAATACACATAATCCCTGAGGTATCCCCCAGATAAACAGAAATAATACGTTAATTTATCCTATTTAAGCATATAATTTAAGAAAATTTTCTTTCCATAGGACAAGGAAATAAGAAGTGTTATATAAAAATGTTACCTGCAAGAGAGACCATGCCCAGGGGACAAGCCAGGGTTAAAAGCCGCAGGGAGCAGCCACGCCAGGAAAATGATATCTTGCTAGTAAAACAGTTAATGATAAGTGTAGTCAATTAAAGTAACTAAAATTCAGCATTTAAAAAAGTCTTTTACGTAAGTGGGGGAAAAAATATCATATGGTGGTTCATAAAGTAAGGGAGAGTAGACCAGCATCAGGCTTAACTACAGTAAGATTATTATAGAGAATGAACATATGAAGGAATGTTCAGCTTCACAAATAAACAAAGAAATGTTACATAAGACAAAAAAATAAAAGCGGTGAACAGGGCCTGCTTAGAGATCACTGCTGGCAGTGCTTGGGGAACCATCTGTGGTGTTTTATACACAACACCACAGATGGGCTGGTTGTATGCAAGGAAAGCACTATAATAGACTGTTATACCTGAGTTCTGGGGTTCCCATTCACAGAGACACCAGTTCCACAAATGAGAATATAAAAGCAAAGGAACCTTTATTGCAAGCTTGAACTAGGGTCCAAGTCTCATCCAACGCAGTGGAGTCTTGACAAGGACCCCGACTCTAGTTCCAGGGAACATTAGATGGCCTATCATTACATAAGCAACATTGGCAGTTTTCCCAAGAATTTCCATGAAGCAATCACAAATCTGTGAGCTAATTGGTCATGCCCACCTGCTGTGCCCAGAGATATCTTGCTTATCATAGAACTGGCTAGAGGCGTCTAGGGAATTTCCAGCTTCTGCCAAGGAGGTAAAGGTAAGGTAAAGGCCCTCCCGTTGATCGTCGATTTGCTCGAGCGGGCCCAGTAACGCCTCCATTGGAGACTTTGTTGTTACTGTGTCTGGCATATCAAATACTTTTGGTAGCTTGCTGGGCTCTCCGAGAGGGGCGGAGGAATCGAACTCGGGTCGGCCATGTTGGCCGCTTGTAAGGCGAACGCCCTACCCGCTGTGCTATCGCTCCAGCCCTTCTGCCAAGGACAGTCTCAGAGAATTCTTTGGAGGGAAACAGAAACTTAGGCCTACTGCTTGTTTTGTTGAAGTGCAGCCTGTCATGGCACATATGAGGTTCTTTCTCAGTCTCATAAGGCTTCCCCTGTGGCCCCAATTGTATGTGGCAAATACAGAGTCTGGTCACATTTTTTGTCAATTAGCAATGCATGACCCTGTTTTATGATTCATGTAGAAATGCACTTTATCCAACAGATTTATAGCTAAAAATCACTAAATGACTACAGCGAATGCCAGAAAATCTAATCTAACATGTATATTTTCTCTGTAAGGCACATCACAGCCTGTGTTGTCTTAGGATCACTGGACACTATAGTTGGACACTATGTTAAATGCTAAAATCAGCAATTAAAAGCACAAAATGAAGAAAGCATGGTATTAAATTGACGGAGAAAAAAACGACATTTACTAACAATATTAGGTCTGAGACCAAAAAAAATCAGTGTTTCTTTCCCACCCTTAGCTAGGTATGTACACAACAGAATTCCCTGTTTACGATCAGTTAAGTCTACAAAAGGACCGCAGAAATAAAAGAAAGTTTTTAATTTTAGATTCCTATTGAATTTAGTTAAGAGGAAAACTTGCAACCATTGAACCTGTAAATAGTAAAGAGCAACTTGTCAATTTATGATTAAAAAATGATACTACGCAATGATA